GCGGCGGTTGCGACGACGACGACGCCGTGTGCAGCTTGTGCGGCCACCAGGAGGCTGAGTCACTAATCGCCCGCCTTGACGCCTCAGCGGTCTGTCTGTCTCACTCGCACTCACGGGGCGTCCGGGCGACAAGAGAGAGTGCGAGAGAGACGGAACCATACGGCCTGCCGGCCTAGCCTCGTGAAGGGACCGCCCGCCTGTATGACGGGCCTGTCGCCGCATAGAAAAGCAGACAAATCAGGGGCGGGGCTGTCTGCTTGTCCGTCTGTCTGTCTGTCTGTCTGTCTGCCGCCAGTGAAAACTTTCTAGGATAAAACACACGCCAGCACGGCCAATTCTTCATGAAGTCCTGCACAGTGGGCCAGAAGACCGGTGGAGCGCTGGTCAAAAATCCCAGACGCGTTTTGAGCTCCACAGTCGCTAAATGGGACTCGAACCGAACGTGTGACCCCACCAATGGATTCCTTGTTCGAAGAGCAATCCATAAGAGGTGTCACAAGGCCCAAGTTCGGTTTGAGTCCCGTTTAGCGACTCTGGAGCTCAAAACGCGTCTAGAACTTAAGCCACCTCCACCGGTCTTCCGGCCCACTGTGCCCTGGCGGCCCTAGCATGCATGCCTGCGACGTGAGCGAAAGCATGCACCGCAGCGGTCTGCACCGGGGGCTCCAAGATAAAGCAACGTAAAGCAATAAAATGCACATTTTCACGTCGCACGTACAATTTCCTTTACTGGTGACGCGACATTTCATTTTTATAGTGTGCCGTTCCCCTGGAGGTGACGCAAAGTGCAGAGTGCAGGCTGGCACCCCTCTCCAGCCCGCACTCTCCGAGTCACTCACCCCTTTCGTCCCCTGTCCTTTGTTTTGCTGTCTGTCTGTCTGTCTGTCTGTCTGTCTGTCTGTCCGCCTTGCATCCCCAGCCGCACCCCGTCCGCCCTCGCAACAGTGTGTACTTTACAGTGCGGGGGCCGCGGCACGTGCTTGGGAGGGGTGGGTGGGGGGTGAACTTTGGAGTGAACAGTGGGTGGAAGACCGGCGCCGGCGGCCAAAACTGTAGACGTGTTTAGAGCTCGCCCTCGCAACAGTACTCGAACCGATCGTGTGACCCCACCAATGGATTGCTCTCTCGCACCCTTTACAGAACGGCCCATGAGTGCGAGATAGACAGAGCACACAACCCAGCCGTCATAAACGCGATGCATGTCAATTGAGAAATTTGGCTTGCAGAGTGCGGTGGCAAAAAAAGACGCACAGGTAAATATATCGATTTTTTTCTCTTTTTGTTTTTCGAGTCTTGCCTGCGGGCATGAGGCCATCCATCCATCCATCCATACCTCTCCCGTTTGCAGTCGATACGAGTCAAGTCGGACATACTATTCCTGGCCGCGGCCCCGCGGCCCGGGCTGCATGCACACTGACTGATTCCGAGAGACCGTCGCTCCGTCTCTCTCGCACTCATGGGGCGCCTCCTACAGGAGCGAGAGAGACAGAGCGACGAAAACGAGTCTCGGCATCAGCTGCTGGACGGGTTAGGCCTCGCCGGCGGAGCCGGCCATGCACAGTGGGCCAGAAAACCGGTGCAGGCGGCCAAAACTCTAGACTATTTTTGAGGTCCGGTGTCGCTTAATGGAACTCGAATCGAACGTGTGACCCCACCAATGGATTCCTCGTTCGAAGAGCAATCCATTGGTGGGGTCACACGTTCGATTCAAGTCCTGTGTAGCGACTCTGGAGCTCAAAACGCGTCGGGAGTTTTGACCGCCTCCGCCGGTCTTCTGGCCCACTGTGCCATGCCCGGCCCGGCCCTGCGGGTCGCTGAACCCAAACACAGCCCCGCCGTGCAAAAGAGTACAGCGCACTGCTTTAAAAACGAGAAAGGGCTTCGCTGTCTCTCTCGCACCGCTGGCGCGACGGCCCGCGAGTGCGAGAGGGACGGAGCGACGATGAGAGCGCAGTTCGAGCTGCAGCGGCAATCAATAAACAGCGTAAGACGAAGCACGCGCACCTTGGCACGCACTGCACCGCCGCGTGCTACGCGCTGCAGTCTCTCTCTCGTCTCTCTCTCTCTCTCTCTCTCTCTCTCTCTCTCTCTCTCTCGGAGCGACCCTTCGACGCCACCCTCGCTCCTGCTTGGCGCTGCGGCGAGAGCCCTTCGGGAGGGTGGCTGTGGGAGGCTGCGGGGTGGCGCCACCCTCGGGAGGGAGGGAGAGAGATGGAGAGGAGGGGGGAGGGAGACATCCCTAAGGTGCAAGCCACTGTCAGAGAGCAGGCGCCGGCTCAGCAGGGTGATGACGCACTGTAAACAATCAGGAGCGCGCGTTATGAAAGCCCAGAGTCACTAAATGGGACTCGAACCGAACGTGTGACCCCACCAATGGATTGCCCTCCGAACGGGGAATCCATTGGTGGGGTCACACGCTCGGTTCGAGTCCTGTTTAGCGACTCTGGAGCTCAAAGCGCGCCTCGAGTTCTGGCCCACTGTGCGCCCCGCAACGCTCCGCTTCCTCGCGGCACTGCCGCTGCGCGCGTGCCAATACAGATGTTGTGGCAAACACTGCAACGCACCGCCACCCTCGCCGTCGACTCGGCGGCCTTGGAGACAGCGAGGCGAGCCGAGGCCGAAGTGCAAGACAGAGCGCACCAGCTGGGATGCGCAGGGCAACGCGCGGTACAGCGACCGTTAGAAACAAAAATTAATGATGATTTCGGATTGCAGTGCAGGTGCGCCGGTACGGTTGAATGGGAACTCGTTCCAGGACGCGTTTTGATCTCCAGGGTCGCTAAATGGGACTCGAACCGAACGTGTGACCCCACCAATGGATTGCTCTCCGAACGAGGAATCCATTGGTGCGGTCACACGTTCGGTTCGAGTCCTGCTTCGTGACTCTGGAGCGCAAAACGCGTGCGGTATTTCGACCGCCTCCACCGGTCTTCTGGCCCACAGTACACCCTTCGGTCCTGCCAGAGAGTCCGGTGGAATTGAGAATCCGTGACCAGTGGGATGCAAACGAGCGAGCCCCGCCCCGCCCCGCCCCGCCGCTCGTCGTACAGTGGCCCTGATTTCCGCCCTATTCAAATACCCCTCCCTCCCCAGACACAAACACAAGTGCGCGACGAAAGGCCTCGGCCACGTGAAGACGACCCACGGACCCATCAGCGCAAAAACGAGTCAAGGCACAACACTGCAAGGCTGGCGAGCAAGCCCACCCCCTGCCCCGCCCCCAGCCCCCCAGCACGCGTGGCCTGACCTCGTCTAACCGTCCGGGGTTCAATCCCCCCCCCTTTCCCACACAGACACATCTCGGCGGGTTCATTCAGTGATCAACGGTTACCTCGTTCGAGGGTTGACAGTTTCCAACCGGCGGCGACACGACACCACGGCCACCAAGGAAGCAAACTCAACCGAGAGGCCAGTGCACCAGCACTCGCAGCGGTCGGGCGGCTGCCCCAGTCTCAGAGATTTCATCGCATTCCATCCCCGCCCAGCATCGCCCAGTGTACCTACCTTGGTTCTATGGCGTATCCAAGCGAGCGAGGTATCCAAAGTCACAAAGCGGCGAGGCGGCGGCACTGCAGTCGTTCGGTTAATCCTCGGAGTTGAGGGGTTTCGTTGCTCGGATCACTTTGGGGAGGACGGAGGACGGGACCACGGCGCGCGCGGAAGGCGCGGAGGGGTGGGGGTGGTTGGCGGCCCTTAACCTCGGGGGTGATCGGCCGCGGTGAGGACACGTCCGCCAGGACACCGTCAGGACGCCGTCGAGGAGGCCGCGGCGAGGACAGGTCGCCGTCGACGAGTCGGAGGCGGTGACTCCTCACACGGCTGTCGGTTCGTCTCGGCGCCCTCGTGCGGCGCGAATCGCGAACCGAACGGAGGTTGGGCGCAGCCTCCCTGGATCTGGAGGTTAGTTTCCTCCCTCCGGCGACGGGCCGCTGACAGGCCGGCGGGGCGGCTCGCGAGACGAGACGACACCGCCTCCACGACGTCCACGGAGGGGCGGCAGGGAGCACGCCGACACGGCAGGCAAGCCGTCAGCCACGGGGACCGCGGGGCTGCACAAACAAGCACGTACGAACGCCCACGCGCGGCGCGGCGGGACGGATCAACCTCGCGCTTCGCGGCAACGCCATCGACTGACGGACCGTGCCGAGCCGAGCCGAGCCCGGCCCGAACCGAGCGCCGAACGGGGCGGCGGCGCGCCAGGGAAGGACGGGACGGGGAGGGAAAGGGGAGCGGCTGGAGCAGCGCGCGCCGAGGCGGCGGAAACGGGGCGCCGCTCCCGCGCTTCCGGGGAAGGCCGCGGCCGCAGGGGGCGCCACCTGCAAAGCGCCGAGCCGCCAACCGGCAGACAGCACGCCGGACGCGTTTTGAGCTCCAGAGTCGCTGAATGGGACTCGAACCGAACGTGTGACCCCACCAATGGATTGATTAGCCACTCTGGAGCTCAAAACGCGTCTGGAGTTTTGGCCGGCTGCGCCGGCCGTCTGGCCCACTGCGCAACCCCCTCCCTCGGAAACCGCCATCAAAAGGCGAGAGAGACAGTCGTTGGTTCCACTGAAGTACTCGCCATGCCGTACTTACCTTGGCTTCCTCGTCGTTGCGGTCGTCGAAGGGCACAGATGCTGGCAGTCCATCGGCAGGGCCTCCAGGACGACGGCGAGGTAGTCGCGAAGGGCAGGTCCAGGATGCGGAGAACACGCCCGCAAGGCCTCGGGGCCCGCAGCCAGGACAGCGTAGGCAACGTCCACCAGGGTAAACAAGTACAAGAGTACAGGTAGCACTTTTTGTCTACCCTTCAGCCCACCACACCACCATGTTACCAGATTTAATATTTCAGCTGGGAGTGTGCGCTAGGTCTGGAAACAAAGTGCCACAAGGTAATAATTTTAAAATCGGACTTTATTTATTTTGGCGTTGTAGCACAGTGATTAGAGATAAAATTCAGCCGGAAGATGACTCTTGAACAGTTGAGACATTTAAATTTACAAATCTGAGTTCATTTGTTACAGTTTCTTTGATTCTGCCTGCATTGTTTCACTTCATTTCACAGTTACACTAATAATTTGTACATCATCGTAGGGCTTGTCCGTCTTGGGGTTGGTCTTAACATTACTGATGTTCTGCACAACCTCCATCCCTTTGACCACTCGGCCAAAGACAGTGTGTTTGTTGTCCAACCAAGGCTGAGGGAAAAAAATAAGTTGTTATAATGTGTCTTTTGTACACGGTTGAAAATCATCACAAGTTAAAATTAAATAGAGCAACACTTACTGTTGGAATAACAGAGATAAAGAATTGACTTCCATTGGTATTTGCTCCAGCATTTGCCATGCTCACAGTGTACGGGCGATCATGCCTCAAGTTAGGTCGAAATTCATCCTCAAATTCTCCGCCCCATATACTTTCACCTCCAGTTCCCGTTCCTGCAACAAACAAACAAATTTATAAGTTCAAAAAAACTAACTTCTTTTTTATTCAATAAAATAGCTGAGAATGGCCGGAATGAGTTGGCTCTCAGTTTCAGTTAAACATACCTGTTGGATCTCCGGTTTGAACCATGAAACCCTTGATTACACGATGAAATATGTGACCATTGAAGTAGCCATTCTTGCTATGAACGCAGAAGTTCTCAACTGCTTTGGGACATTCTAGGAACAATTTGATGTGAATGTCTCCCATTGCAGTATGAATAATGGCTGTTTCATAGACCCTTTGAATACCTAAAATTTAAAAAAGAAAAATGCATATAACTTGGGCTAATACTGAATTGACATTGTCAATTGTCAATACAAAACTTTATCCTCAAATGAAATACCAAAATATGATCTCACCTGTGGCTTCTGTTGCAGCGATAATATCATCTTTAGATGGTTTCTCATTGAAAACATCTCTCTCGTTGTCATGGCTTTTTGTGTCGTCAGGGGCATTCCTAAAACAAAAATTTCATTCAAGCAAACCTCACAAAATGAAGAAATGAAGAAGAAGTGTTATTATCTTGCAAACAAAATGTCCTTACTTTGTAAAGAGGTAAAATCTGTTTTTCTTGTATGCAGTGCAAAACAATGTTGGATCAGACTGAACATTATCCAAGGTGGGATTTTCTGAAGCTTCAAGTTCAACAGTCACAGCAGCTTTTGTCCTACGAGCACGGCCCTGAGAAAAAGAATGATATGGAAAATAAAATACACAAATAGGAAAAAGCCAATCACAAACAGCGAAATCTTTACCTGGAAAAGGCCAATATGAAGCGGTCGTAAATTTTCAGATTTTCCAATAAACATAACACACCGGTTGGTGTAGGTGTTAACTAACTTAATTCCCAGCATAGTAGTGTACAAGATGAAGTGACCACTTTCATCATACAGTATATTGCCAAATGTGGGAGGATCAGCCTTCTCCAGTTCTCGTTCTGTTGCTAATCTCCTATTAAATTCCATGTTGGGTAACTGTTGTTTAGCTTGATGCATTTGTACAAAACATGACAGTGATTCATCATACACTCTACTCAATTTTCCACTCAGGAAATTGAAAATTCGAACCTTCAAAGAAAAAAAGGTTTAGAGAACAAATATGTAAAAACATGTCAAATCAATGAATAACTCAGTAAGGATGAATTGAAAATGACAAACCTTCCGATCTGCAGAGAGTATGGCCATTTTATTTCCTTGAGGAGGGAAAGCAATGCTAACAGGATATGTCTTACTCTTGACAAAATCAAACAAGTCAGTGTCTAACTTTGAGTCAAAAGTGACATTTTTAGGAAACTTGTAATCAGTTTTAGGGCCTGTCCAATACTCCACAATACCTGTCTTGTCTGCAGAAACAACAATGGATAGGGCAGCATTGTACTGAAACAAAACAGGTGTATAAGAACAAGCTTTCACAATTAAAAATGCAAATATTGTAATTCAAGTAAGAACCTTAAGCCACATACTTTCATGCAGACCACTGGTTTGGTGTGAAGTTTATCCAGTATGTGCAGAGGTGTACCCTTCCCTTGGCCATCAAATACATAGATTTTGTGGCTGCCTGCTTCCGACCTACAGAACAAAGGTTTCAAAAATAAGCTGGAACTTAATGAAAACTGGTTGGACATCAAAGACTATCATTATCTCATACATACACAGCCAGGGCGTTAATGGCATCGCCAGGACTATGGATCCATTCAACTCGATTGGGAGCAAAACTCAATTTTATCATGTTGATCATATCTGCAACAATCCAATATAGTACCCACATAAAAACAAAATTTCATTTTTTTAAAAAAGGAACCTTTGGGGAGGTGCACAAGCCTACCAAAGTTGACAACATCAAAAATTTTTAAAGCCTTGTCTGCCCCACATGAAACAAATAGTGTTCCATTAGCATTTGCTGCAACATCCGTGATAGTATCAAGGTGGCTTCGGAAATGTTTGACAAATTCGATTGACTCTGGTTGTTTCTTCCAAAATTTGATGTGGCCCTCACAGCTTGCAGTTATAACGAATTCTGTCCTGAAAACAAAACGGGGGGGTTAAAGAGAAAGTGTTTACGAGAAGATAAAATTACTGAGAATTTCAACTTACTTTGTGACAATGACATGAGTGATTACATCCCTATGCATGAAACTCTTTTCATAGACCTCGGAGCTTGGCAAGTTGTCAAGGTAAAGCTTTTCGTACTGAAGAACTGAAACATACAAAAAACCATAATCAGTGTCGAAGGACCCCAACAAATTGAAGGTTATGTATGTGTGGAGAAGTGAAGACTGATGCCATGTTGAGTCGTCTGAGCGACTGGGACAAAATATGGAAACGCTTCAAGAGATGAAACAAGCCCCATTGTTCCCAAGCAAATGACAACTTACTCTTTTTGCGCTTGGGTTGAGCGGCTTCGCTCGGCATCGGGCCGACCCAGCCTTCTCGTCGTCGCCGTCGCCGTCATTGTCATCGAGTTTCGGCTTCTTGGAAGGTTCGCCAGAGCCACTTTCTTCCGCCATGGCCCCGCGGTATCAATGCAAAATCCTCAAATACGCGTTTCAATTCAAAAACACGCTGACAGTTGCGTGTTGTTGTTGGTTACTTGTTGGTTAACATCACTTTTTAAAATTTCTCGCACACTGATCGATTGTCAAACGAATGTCGATACATCGATCCATAAGCGAGGGGTCGCCAACGAAACGAGATCCACCTAACCTAACCTGGACAGCTGTCACTAGTTTCTGTGTTTTTTTGATTTTGCATGTCGTTCTCTTTAGTAAAACTGTCGTCAAGACTCGATATCCACAATGCGGGTGCTGGGCAGATACATGCGGATGCCCGCAAAGCCCCGCAAAAAGCCCATGTCTCTGTCAGCCTTCAAGAAAAAGGTTTGTTGTGGAAAATATAGGATGACCTTAGCCAGATTCTTTTTAAAGCAATGTTTTTCTTCGTTTCCTGGAAACGCAATGCATTGATTCATTTCCTCACTAAAATAATTTTTAGAAACCTGTTTTCTGGCACGTTTTGTTATTTTTCTGTTCTGTGTATTTTTTGTACCATGACATACCTCTACGTCTCCTCACTTACGATGCAGTTGTTTCTTGTCTGTTCATTGGTTTTTCATTTTTCTAAATTTTAGGTGAGCGGTATGTTGGAAACAATTTCAAGACTAGAGACTACAGAGAGAAGTGAGGCTTATGGCTACCTCCAGAACTGTGTCAATGTTCTTGGTGTTCACAAACTAGGGCTTAATCGTAAGTACACGCAATGAAGATATTTGTTGGCTTTTCCCTATCGTATCTCACTAATCCATTTTATCATTTCTAGTTGCCGATTTAGCCAGTTTAAATTTAAAACCAGATTCTGGAAACTCCTCCAAAGCACCTTCAAATGAAGAAAAGGCTAGCCCAGTTAAGGTAAATAATATTTCAAACTTGCTATGCAAAGGATCACTCCAGCTAGTGAGTGGGTTCGTTGACAGTCTTTTATTTTTTTTGCTTTCAGGAAGTGCAAGTTGCATCCGCTACATCATCATCGATTCAGGTTTCTGTCATCAGTAGAAATGAACGAGTTAATGTCATAAGTTATAGCAAAAGTGATGCCACTCCTGCCTCATCAGACAAAAGCAATTTGTCAAAACCAGAATCTTCCAAAGTTACTGAAAGCTCAAGCAAAACAGATAAAATATGCAATGAGAAGCCCACCAAACCAGTCACAGCTTCAACAGACAACCCAAGAAAATCAGTAGTCTCCAAAGCTGCGTTATGTGAGGACCAAATTGCCAGTGATGATCATATTTGCTCCGAGGACAATACTGCCTCTGATGTCGAACCAGCCACATCAAATCAAAAAGATCAGAAAGAAAGAGAAGCTCCTTTACCTTGTTCAGAATGTGGTGCCAAAGTGAAGAGCCGCCGAGCAATGTTAGCTCATCTAGACCGTCATGTCTCAACTCCTGTCTCCTGTCGAGCTTGTCGTAGAAGTTTCAATACATTGTTGGCTCTTGATTTTCATTTTGAAGATTTCTGTGTCAGTAAAACTCTTGTTTGTCCACAATGTGAGGAGGTATGTATCAATATTTCCCCATCATGACTTCAGTCATGGATTATTATTGCTAACTTCAATTACGTTCATATTCAGGTTTTTTCCTGCCGCACACATTTCAACAATCATGTTGAAGGTCATAACCGCAACAACTGCCAGATGTGTCCTGCACTCTTCACAAATCGCAAAAACCTTGTGGTCCACATGGCAGATGCCCATAATGTTGTCATGCTTGCTGATGCTGCTTTTGTTTGTAACATACCAGGCTGTGAGAGGCGGTTTGTTAAAAAGTCCACACTTCATCGCCACTTGCAGGTAAATTACCCTTTTGGTTATATTCTTTACAGCTAAGGTTTTATTAATGTTTTTGGTGGGATTAATTGATTTTTGTTTTGTGCTCAGCTTCATCACACCACTGAAGGGCAGATAGTGTGTATCACATGTGGTACATACTTGGAAGATGAAGAAGAGTATAAAGCCCATACACAAACTCATAAATTGTTGACTTGTGAAGATTGTTCAGAAACCTTTACTCGAAGGCAGCAGTACCTGGTTCATATGGCTGTAAGTTTTGCATTAAGATATTGAGGTTTGCTTTCAAAATTGCCTCAGTTTAATGCAGTCTTATTGATTTACAGAGCCATGAATCATCAAAATATAAGTGCATCACTTGCGATCAAATACTGCCAACAAAGGCACGAGTTCTTGAGCACAGAAAAGATGGACATCAGGTTGAAGGGCTTAGTGTAGACTTTGCATGTGATAAATGTGATGAAAGATTTCACACTTCTGCAGAACTGAGAGACCACTCCCATACCCACAAGCGTAAGCACTAAATAATAATAATAAAGTAATTGCTGTTTTTCTTTTTTAATTGTTTTTATTTAAGTAAAATTCTTTCTTTCAGCACCTGGAGCTATATCATGTAAATACTGCTTCAAAACATTTTCCACTAAAAAAGTGTGCAACAGTCATATGCGCAATCAGCATGGCATTGTTGTGGAAAATGGTTGTGAAGCAAGTCTTATCTGTGATCAATGTGGAAAGCAATTTAGGTCACCTGGTTTACTATCTAAGCATTTAAGTCGTGTTCACAGTGAGCAAATATACAGCTGTTCCTATTGTGATCATAAAACAAATAATGAAGTTAATATGAGACGCCATCGAGCTCTTCACACTTCTCAAGAACAGCAGTTTGTTTGTGACCAATGTGGAGCTTCGTTTCAGGTATTGAAATCATAAATACATACATATCTTTGCCTCTACGGCCTCCGCCCCCTTTTCCTTTTCTTTTGCATCTGAATTAAAACAAGTCTTCCTTTGTTTGCAGGCACTAAGCACTCTCAAGGACCACAACTTGTTTGTCCACTCTGATGAAAGGAATTTCAACTGTCATGTCTGTAATAAGTCCTTTAAACGTAAAAATGATCTGAGGAGGCACTTCCGCTCTCACTCCAATGACCGCATGTATGTATGTCATTGCAAGCAGTCATACAAATTTATGTCCCACCTGCGCCGGCATCAGGAGACGGCTCACAAAAGCGTGCCAAACAGCAGAATAGTTCAGCGTCTGGTGAAAGATGCCAGCGGTAACTTGGTGAAAAAGCCAAAACCTGTTAAGGAAAAGAAAATTTGTAAGAGCAAAAAAGGAACGCAAAGCAAGTCAGACATATCAGAAGCTCAAGAGCAATTTACAGATGATCCAGTGGGTGTAGTGCAACATGAAAACCCTGGTGTGCAGTTATTGACTGTAAACAATGATGATCAAGTGGTTGCCATGTCTGTGTCAGATCTTCCAATTTCTGATCAACATGTTGATCCCTACAACCTGCAGGTAACTAATTTTGAAATCCTCTCTGTTCAAGATTTATGAGAATTCATAGCAAATCAACTTCTAGTTGATATTATTGCCATTTTCTAAAAAAAAATTTATTCAACTTTGCAGGTTGCCTATGATGGCTTGAACTATTCAGATGCCAAGACTCAGTTGGTCTATACCTCGACTCCACCTGGCTCCCATCATGTTATGTCTCTTCAGCTTCCACAGTTTGAATTGGTGGAACCAATGCCTTATGACGCAGAATCGGTCATGGATATGAGCACCACCTCACATGCTGATATAAACAATCACCACGGGCCCATGCTGATGAGTATCGCATCCAGTGAATCATCGTCTCAGCCGGTCATGACACTGATAACTGGCCTGGAGCACAATACGCTTTTCACAACACAAGCAGACATCGGAACAATGACGGACCACAGCAATGTTTATACGGACAGCTTGCTGCATGCTCATACATCAGTTGCTCATGTCAAATCTGTTGACAGTTTCACAGAAGCTCATGTTTTGGATCCCAAAACAAGCCAAGCTGACATCAGCACAATGACAGACATGTACAATGTTTATGATTCGCCAGCCAATATGTGTGTAACCCAACAGCAACACCACCACCATCCACACCACCCTCATGAGTTAGCACCTCTGAGCTACACACCCCTTGATCCTTGCCATAGTATTCTTTTACCACCTCATCAATCATGGCACATCTCTGAAGATTCTAATTTGGCTCAATACTCAACTTGTTAGCAGTATCTCTTTTCAAATTTGTAACTGTGAAGCTTTTTTTATTGTACTGACTGATTTTTACAATCTTATTGTAAATATTTGCTGTATTTTTATTATTTTATTTATTTATAATTTTCACTCTTGTCAATTTCAAGAGTTTGTTATGTGTGACCTGCAGGAAAGGTTGGTCAACTGATCAGAAATATCATGTTCATTTGAATATTAAATATACCTTCTCCTTCCATGTTCTTTGAATGAGGAAGGTGTGTTTATTAGATCAATCTACCTCCAAAATCTGAATGTGTCTCATTTCTGTGTGTGGTGCCCTACATTTAAGAACTGTTGCTGTTATATTGTTACATTTGTGCCCTGTAAATTTTGTAACTGTTACCTTTGCATTGCTGTGTATCCCATATACAGCTCTTCAATAAATGCTGATTTTCTATTTTTAAAAGTGCTGGCTGGAATCTTGAGGAAATATTTTTACAACCCTACAACCCGCCTGAAAAATTCCCCCCGCGAGCACCGCGCCCGATTCAGTGGAGGCCCAGTGGAAGAAACTTGACCCCTGGCGTAGAAGGTGGGCAAGACTGCAAGACGCCCCACTTTGCCCCTGTACGCAGCGGCACGCAGGCCAACAGTTCTTCTTTGCCCCTCCCCCAGGCCGGGCCTGGATCCACCGCAGATGGATTGCGGTTTCTTGTTTTGTTTTTGCTGTCGATGCACAGTGGGCCAGAAGACCGGTGGAGGCGGCAAAAATTCTGGACGCGTTTTGAGCTCCAGAGTCGCTAAACAGGACTCGAACCGAGCGTGTGATCCCACCAATGGATTGCTCTCAGAACGAGGAATCCATTGGTGGGGTCACACGTTCGATTCGAGTCCCATTCAGCGACTCTGGAGCTCAAAACGCGTCTAGCGTTTTGGCCGCCTCCACCGGTCTTCTGATCCACTGTGCGATGCTGGTAACGGCTTGCCTCTCGGCCTCTCGCCTCTTATCTCTGCGCCCCGGGCAGTTCAGCGAGTGTCTTCCGCGCTTCCGCTTCTTGTGGTGGACCGCAGTGCAGTGTAGTGGCGCTGGAGCCGCAGATCGACCAGTCCGACCCGACGAGACTGGACCAGACCGTCCGGCCAGAGAGTGGCATGCAGCATGTCACGCTTCGACAACTCTACGTCTCCCTGTCATGGACGACCGTGTATTATTTCCTTTCGTGGCTCATGGGTGAGTGATTGTTCACTCGGGCGATGACCATGTCCATGAATACCGTTCGTTCGAAGCGTCCCGCGGCGCGGCGCTGCTGCGACGTTCACCAACCTGCCTTGCTGAAACGTAGATCAGTGGTCAAGTAAGGGCCTTGGCGATATCTACGTTGGTGAGACATGCCAAAAACTGGGACAATTTGCGTCCCATTTTGGATCACAATAAGCTTTTGTTGTACAAAGTTGAGGTTGCTTATGTCATACGTGAGTAAGTGAGTTGGTATGACGCACTCTCGACTGGTGAATCGATCTATCGATAGTCTAAGGGGGCGGGCGGGGGTGAAGGGTGGAGGGGGTTGCGTCGGCTGCAGTCGGCCTCAGTCGTCTGTTCAAGAAGGGGTTAGTGTCACAACCGACCGAGTGTCAAGTGAAAACGTAAACAAGAATGACTCTCGAGACCAAAAGAGAGGCCAGTTGAAGCAGGAAAGCTGCTCATAGTGTAGACGTGCTCTGCTCGTCCTACTCTTTTCACTCTTAATTGGAGGTGAGTCAGCAAATAGTTTTTTTGGGGGGACTTTGTCGCCGCCAGAGCCGTATCTAGATGCTCAGTTTTACTTGAGATTGTCTGCTTTTAGAACTTTGATCCTGTACTTTGCCACCTCTTGATATCCTGTATGACAAAGCAACTACTTTCATTCATTGTACTCCTCAGCTAGCTGAATAAGTTTGCAGGTATCTTCAAACATTTTTAAGCTTTTTCGAACAAGTAAAATATCTACTTCTTCAAATTTTCAGAGAGCGACGCAGAGGACTTGACCATGGCTCCGCAAAAAGGACTGTTTACATATGAGACACTTGTTCATGCTATAGCTGGTGCCACGGTAAGTATTGTTCCTCAAATTTCTTCCTTTCAGTAAAGAGCCTTCAATAAGCATCTGAATAATTCCCTTTTTCACCTTTCAATTGTTTAGGGAAGTGTTGTGGGGATGACAGTATTTTATCCACTGGACACAGTGCGATCACGCTTGCAATGTAAGTATTTAATGTTGGGCTGGAATTTTTAAATTAGCCATCCTGTCCTGTTTTCAATTAAAAATTAAAAATTTGTCGCAGTGGAAGAAGATAGAAAAGCCAAAAATACCTTTGCCGTCATAAAAGAGCTAGTCGAAGAGGAAGGATTGTGAGTATTTTCTTGAAGTTTAATTTGATTCAGACAGATTGATGTTCCTTTTCACTGGTAACTTAATTTTTCAGTGAAACTTTGTATCGAGGGGCTGTACCAGTTCTTCAGAGCATCTGTGCTTCAAATTTCGTCTACTTCTACTCTTTTCATGGACTTAAATCTCTTAGTAGTTCATCAGTTGGCCAGAGTGCTGCAAGGGACCTCTTCCTAGCATCAGTAGCTGGTAAAGTATATTATCTGAAATTTTTTTTTTTTTTAAATGGCCCATTGAGTGAATGCTTAGTCCTTGCTTTCTTTCTTTAAAGGTGTTATAAACGTTCTCACCACAACGCCATTGTGGGTTGTTAATACAAGGCTAAAGATGGCAGGCGTTGGTCAGGAAAAACAGGAGAAACCTGCCTATCGAGGTCTCATTGGTAAATTTCATTGTTACTTCATATAGTTACATCAAAATGAGTGTCTAGATCTGTTTCTGTGATTATTAAACAAGTCAATTTTTCCATTCAGATGGACTCATCAAAATTGTGAAAACTGAAGGTGCGGCTCGATTGTGGAGTGGAACAGGCCCTTCGTTGGTTTTGGTGTCGAATCCAGCAATACACTTCATGGTGTATGAAACTTTGAAGAGGTACATCCTGGATGGTCGCAAAGCCAGTGAGATTTCCCCACTCACGTTCTTTGCTGTTGGAGCAACTGCTAAAGCTATTGCAACACTCATCACCTATCCACTTCAACTTGTCCAGACGCGGATGCGCGTGAGTATAAATTTTAAAACATACTCATGTTGCTGCTCAAGTAAAATTTGTGTATGTTCATTATGTTCATGGATTGTATTGTTTGTTGCAGCATGGTCATAAATATCCTGACTTGAAGGCAGATGCCAGCAGTTTAGAGCTGACATCTTATATCCTGAGGTTGGTTCTGTCACCATGTGTTACACACCAAAATCAAGTATGTTAAGAGCTTCTGATGGATTTACTCATATCGCTCTTGTTCATTTTGTTTCTAGGAAGTACGGCATAAAGGGATTGTACAAGGGAATGGAGGCCAAAGTCCTTCAAACAATCTTTACTGCTGCTCTCATGTTCATGACGTATGAGCAGATTGTTGCATTTGTTTTCAAGCTTCTTCTCCGCAACCAACAGCTTGCTGCTCAAAGAAAATAAAGTACCTGAAGTACATTTTGCAAAGTTGAAAAAACTAGCTCAAGCTAGTTTGCTCTTTTATTTTCACTTTTTTAAAGTCATTTTTTTTTTTTAAGTTTTTTTACTATTGGTGATAGTTTTTGTTTTGTGATTTGACAATTTGCATATTTTTGTTTTTTTATTATTTCCATGACTTCCTGGCATTTCCTATGCCTGTTTTCTAAAAAAATTTAAGCTATCAGGGGTGGCTCCAGAAAACATTCCAGAGGGGACCAGGGACCTACACATCTTGTCGAGTTTGTTGCCTTCCCGCGCCCTGAGTGAGGATGTTGGGTCTGAAGGCTGGGCCCCTGGAGCTGGGACTGTTAGCTACGCTAGTCAGTAGATGCCAAATTATTTAAGCGGGTGTCCGCATGTTTTAAGCTCTAGTTAATTTTTATTAACTTTACTTTAGTGATATATGTTGTCGACCAAAAGAGTGCAGCTTTATATTCTATCTGAGGTGCTGAGGTGTTACTCTCTTAGCCCTCTATTCAACCATATATTAAATTGACTTCTTTGGTGATTGGTGTACTCCCTACTTAATATTCATTGGTGGTCGAACGTCTTGGAAATGTACCATTCCAAGGCATTCATGAAAAAAAATCAACAATTAGCGTAAGGCTCAGTGATGTGAACAATAAATGCGAAACAGTACCCTCTTGCTCATTTACTTCCATCTCTCTTGTTATGCCCCTTGTAAAGTAAAGGGGCTTCCAAAAATTGCGCTCAGACATGTCTGGGCGCGTGCGGTTTAAATATTGGTGTCAGCATCTATGCCCTCTCTAGACAATCATTGGACATAATGCTCCCCAAGACAAGGAAGACTAGAACGAGCGGCGTCAGGTATATAAACGCAGCGCGCGACCGTAGCAAGCCCCGAGCGGGCAACGCATGCCTTAGCTCTGTACGCCATCTAGCGGCCGGCACCGGAAGCTGCACTCGCAGGCCGCTGTCGGCAGCGCGGGGTAGCGCCGTCTCTGGCATTCCCTGCCGCTCCCGCAGCAATCTCCGGTGACGTGGGGTATTCGCAGCGACGCACTAACGTGGGCGCGTTTTGGGCTCCACAGTCGCAAAATGGGACTAGAACCGAGCGTGAGACCCCACCAGTGGATTCCTCGTTCGGAGAGCGATCCATTGGTGGGATCGCACGCTCTGTTTGAGTCCCATTTAGCGACTCTGAGGAGCTCAAAACGCGTCTTGAGTTTTGGCCACCTGCGAACCCAGGGAGAACAGCAAGTCAAGCCGAAGTCGCCGAGGTCCAAATGACATCCCTCGACCTCACATAGGCTCGCTTGTTCTCTTTGGGGCTTGGGGGTCCGCAGCTTGGATGATGGGGGCAACAATAGCGCCAGGCTGGCCAAGTTGGTTGGCGATCTAATTCGCTGTTGTCGTCTTCGCTTACGTCAGACTCGTTGAAAGGAGGAGGTGGGCGAGGCGCTCTTCGCGTCCTGTCTGAAGTACGACCCCCCCCCCCCCCCTCGAGTTCCACCTGGCACCTCGGCCCGCCCTGCCGCCCCCACAGGCGTGACACGCATCACTGCACACCCCTGGCCAACCTCCCCCTCCCCCTACGTTGGCACCCACCAACACGTTGGACGCGGCCTCGCCCCACCTCGCCCTGGGTCTCGATGAGCTGCTCGTGCACTTCATTGTGATCAAAACTGCAGCATCTTCGTGAGTGCCATGAGAGTCCCATGAATAAGTTGAGCATCCCCCAACCCTCTCATTCCTCTCAAAGAAGAGGGGAGAGAGCTTCGTTTCAGCACCTCTTATTTCAGTCCAGCTCTTTGTAAGCGGAAAATTAAAAACAAAAAATCAAAATGAAGCCTGACCGAAAAAACAGAGTTGAGAAAAATTTAGCAGTGCAGCAAGAGGTATTTGAACGTGCATACTCTTCTGTTTTAAACGGTCTGAAGCATTTAGACAAGAAAACTATTGACACTTTGAAGAGTGTTCACTCTGAGACAGAAAGTCATCGGTGAATATGAAGTGTTTGTCAAAACATTTTCCTCATTAATTTATGACAGACATCCTAAACATAGACCCTTTTCTTTTAAGGAAAAAAGAAGAACAAAATCTTAAGAAATCTCTCCTGGCAATTGCTATGGTGATACAGAAGCTAAAACATAACATCAGAAATGAAGAATTTGTTGAAAATAATGGTATTTATAATCTAAGCATTCTCTTATGACTTAAAAAAATCTGACAACTTTCTTTAAAATCTTATGCGACTTCCTCTCAGACACAGAATACTTCAGAAGGCACATAACAAGCACTGAGGAGAATATTACAGCTTTCAAAACTCTATTGAGTGAGCAGTAAGTATAAAATACCCAACAATCTTTCTGTAGCTTATTTCAGACAAACTACCCCTTTTATCCCGTTCTTCTTTAAAAGGTTGCACAGTTTTCAAGAAGAAGAGATTGACCTACAACAGTCTATAGACTCACTTCATCAACGTTTGAATGAAACTGCAACCAAACAGAGACAGGTTGGAGAAAGCTCATTTACAAGTTCTTCAAGAATTGCTGCAAAGTCTAAAGTTAACTCAATAAAAGCTAATGAGAATGTGCATCCAGTGAGTCTTATGGGAATAAACTTCAAAAACTTCTCTGGTTGATACAGCAATTCCAATGTTCTGTCTCTTAAATTTTACTAAACAGGACGTCCAAGAATTTCACAATTACTTAAGGAACAATGGAGGGCACACAGGTGGATGGGATACCAAAGATCATCTACTGTTTACACGCTTTCTTCAGAAGTACCGAGGCTTGGACCAAATGACAACAGCTTTACTGGATTTTATGCCAGGTAACATTATTCTATATCTCTAAGCATGACTGGGTAGAGCATAAATTTCAATATGCTTGCAGATAAGTCTCCAGAAGAAATAGCTCAGCACGAGTCTTGGTACCATGACTATTTAATACTAAAAGATGCCCAGCGTAAAGCCCTCAAGGAATGGCGAGATGAGCAGGTTTCACAAAAACAAAAATGTGAAACGATGGATGGTGCATCAAGTGGCCTTACAACACCATCAACAATTAAAAAAGTGCCCCATGAAAGGGATCCATCAGTCAAGGAGAAGATTCAAAAGTGGAAGGTAGGTAAAGTAAATACCTCACCAATGATTCTGAGAGTTTCAAACTGACCGAAATATTTTAACTTTTAAAAAGAACGAACAAGAGAAACAGCGTCAGCAGCAGATTCGCGAACTTCAAGAAAAAAAACGGCAGGAGGAAGAGGCATGGCAAAAAAAAGTTGCTTACTTTGAGCAACAACATCAGATAATTGTTGAAAAGCGTAAAAAGCAGCAACAATTCTTGGATAGCAGTGCATCTCAAGAGCAAGTCAATGACTCCCTTATCCCCAGAAAAAACATTCCACTCAAGGAATTTTGGTACAAGCTAGATTTAAGTTCATCTGTGTCATGAGATTTCTGCGGATTTATGTCAAGTACTCATGACCCAATTCAATACCATTTGCAGGGCGCAGGACAAGCAGTTCATGCAGCGAAGACAATCGCGCCTGCAACGATTTTCAGCGAGTCCTCGAGTGCGATCAAGTTCACAGGTGAAGGCTGAGAGGGATCCTTCACGTCTACTGAGACCCACTGCCGTTTGGCAGGCAAGGATGAAGCGAAGTTTGTCCGAAGAAGGAGGCGGGCAAACAAAGGCCTACAAAGGATTGTACATTGCAGATGTGCCACACTTGTGAGTCCCACAACAAGCAAGATATGAGTGTGAGAAATGAGAAGTCTTCAGTGGAAAACTAAATTTATTTTTCCTTCCACCAGGGCAATACCTAAGTGGCGACAAGGAGTGATATAAACTTTCACTGTTTTAATTTCACCTATGTATGAAAATACGTACATAATATGGTAAACCAAATCATAATCAAGTTAGGAAAAAATACTTTTCCTTGGGAAAAAGTTATCAGCAGAATATCACATTCAACAAGGTCAAAAAGTGATCATAATATTGCCAACAGTTGAAGGCCTATACGCTGCCTAGCACGCTCCACATTCAATACCTTTACCTGGACTTTCTCACCAAACTGTGGATGCTTTCCACCCATACCACTGTTGTGTATTAGTCCGTTTTGGCCCACTCCAATATCCACAAAAGCCCCGAAGTGGGTTGTATTTGTAATCCTCCCTGCAAACAAGAATTAGAAAAAGAATAAATTTTAATAACAAATGGAAAGATGGAAAATTTACAAGGTATAATGGTATAAACCAACCAGTGAGTATGTCACCACTGTGCAATGCATTGATGGAAGTTAACCCTTTCCGAAATAGTGGCTTTTCAAATTCTGATCTAAGATCGTGGTTTGTGGGCATTTGGAGACCATCGGCAACAAGTTTCAAAGTGGCTTCATTTGTATCCAGCAAGGCTGCTAAAGATGCAATACCTGGAAAAAGAGGAGTTATTTAGCACATGCCAGTGGAACTTTTTATTGCATAGATGACAAAAAATCCACAAACCTCCAGCACTGTCTACAGCCTTGGCTATATTTCTTATTGCTTCAGGAGACCCAATGTCATCCAACGAAACATCACAATAAGACAAAAATCGGGATGCAAAGCTGTAAGATTCCGGGTGAATCCACGTTCTGTCCAAAGGATTACATTTAGCAACTGCATTCCTAAATTAGAAAAAAGGAAGTTTTAAAATATTTATACAAACTAAAATCTTAATACTGTAACTCATTTGTTTTTGTGTTTTTAAATTAAAACTTTCAAAATTATGACAAACCTATTTCCAATAGTCTGAGGAAGAATTCTTATGAACCCAGCACATTGTTCAAATGATTTGCCACCAATGCCTTTCACTTTTTTAATATCATCTCTTGTCAAGAAGGGCCCCTGCTTCTGACGATGTTCTAAAATTTTGGTGGCTTTGGATGAATTAAGACCAGCAACACGCCTTTAGAAAGAAATAATTTTAACAAAAGAGATTGGAAGTTATACTGTGGAGATGCAAGCCTAGGTATATTATTATACTGCTTACATGCTTTAAAAATAATAATACACATTCAATAGCATCGAGGTAACATTATTATCTTACCTCAGAAGACAGTGAGGCGCAGTGTTCAGATCAACTCCAACAAAACTGACACACTCCACAACAATTTCATCTAGTGTGTTAGAGAGTTTCTTTTCTGATAAGTCATGTTGATACATGCCAATACCCAAATGCTTTGGTTCTACTTTTACCAGTTCTGCCAAGGGATCTTGCAATCTTCTTGCAAGAGATACTTTTTTTTCACATTAAAAAAAGCAGGAAAAATAAAGAGAGGAATAAGTTTTAAGAGTGACAAGTTATTTTACAAACAAGCATGGGAGGGGAGGTTTACCTGCGCTGATGAAATTTGGATCCATGTCTGGAAACTCGTTTTTAGCTTCCTCAGAGCAGGAATAAATACTAGCACCTTGCTCATTTACAATAGTGTATGATACATCTAAAGGTTTAAAAAATCCTTTCTGTATCAGTTCACTTAAAAACTCTTCAGTTTCCCTGCAGGCGGTTCCATTCCCCACCGCAACAACGTCACACCTGACAAAAACAATTTGAGTTACTTGATTACAAACCCACAAATGGTTCCTTTCTCGTGTTTTGTTTAAATTACCTGTGCTTCAACAATATTTCCCTGATCCATTGGGCATCCCCATCATCTCTTATGTCCCAAGTTCGCCTACCGCAATTGAGATTGATAAGACCAACTTCTAGGACATCTCCAGACTGGTTGAGAAGGGCCACCTTGCAACCATTCCGGAAACCTGCAAAGGAAAATGCTCATATACCAGCCAATAGGAAAGCAGTGTACTTAATTCTGAATAAGTAACCAACTCACCTGGGTCAATAGCAAGTACCTTACGTCCTCTGAACGGTGGCATTAAAAGCAGTTTTTTCAGGTTGGCAGCAAAGACCTCAATAGAAGCTCTTTCTGCACTCTGGTTCAGTTCTGATCGAACTTGTCTCGTAATAAGAGGCTGAATGAGACGAGAATAAGAGTCTTTAACACTTTCTGTTATCAATGAGCTTCGAAGCTCATACTGCAATCCTTTAGAAAGCCAATTTCTGTGACAAAATGACATCAATTTATCCAAAACTACGTCTGGAACAATAACGCGGACAGTAAGCTCTTTCTGGTTTTCCCCGCGATTTATGGCCAGAACCTGAAACACAAAGGGCAAAAATGGAGTTTCAACATTACGTATCTTTAAATTTAACTGTATCATAACATTTTTCTTATTTTACTACCTTACCTGGTGAGGCTTGATAAATTTAACATTCATGTTAAACTCAAAATAGTTACGATATTTACTCTCCTCATCCACTTTGGCCTGAAGTTTCTGCTTCTCAGATGCAGTCATTGATTTTACTTTTGCAGCAGACTTCTCCTTATCATGGCCCTTGGCCATCTCTTTGGCCACTGTACCCTTTGCTCTGGTGCTTTCGAGGCGAATGTTTGACGACTTTCTCCTAAGAAGTTAAACGATGAAGTTACTACAGAGTATGGAGGTAATGAATCAAGCCCCCCAGATTTAATGGAAACTTACAAATCAGATACTAGATCCAAAACATTTCTGTCCTTGCTTATAATGTCAGCTATTATGTGTTGAACTCCTGTTTGAACTTCACTGATGTCTCTCAGGCCATCCTTGTCCCTCACAACGAATTGAGACAGTGAAACGTGCTCGGACCCATCCATAATAGTTCGAGCAGCATCATCTAAGCCCAACTGGCGAGCTCGCTCAGCAAGAGTTCTTTTACTTCCTGTTTTAAATGGTGTATTCTGAAAGCACACAAGTTAGTTACTGACCTTAGCATAACAAGTCACATTGGATTTTTGTTAAATAGAAAAACATACAATCAAATCAAGTTCATTTAAGCTCCGGGCACAGACAATGGACCTCCTTATGTCTGAGGTTAATTTCCCAAGTTTCTCGATGGACTTTAACATTGTGGCAGCTTTATGCTGAATATGTCTACAACAGAAAAAATTTATTAAGTACTAAGAAGTTTGGGTAGGTTCCTCAGTCATTAAAACCACAGCTCTCTTTGACTGACTTAATTTCTTCAAATGTTTCCTTTGCATGTCGCAGCTGCTCTGGCTCCATGTTTCGGGTCATTTCTTTCCTGTAACGAGCGATAAATGGAATGGTGTTGTCGTCTTCAAAGAGTTTCACCAGGTTTCTTGCTACCCAGTCATCGAGCCCTGCAGTTTGTGCTAACAGATCTGACTCGTTCCATTCCATTCTCACTGTTGATGAACCCTTTAAAAAAATCATATGCATTCGGCAATTTCAAATTTAAAAAGATTTAAGTTTAAAATATTGGCAAAATTTGTTTGCAGGCTTACTGGCATCGAGTCCATTCCACGCTTGTCACTACTATGAGGTTCTTCCAGACGCAAGCCGGCAGTGCCGGCATCACCCTCACCATCACTGCCATTATCTGACATGTACTTCCCATGCCTTGAACTTTCAGAATCATTCTCAGGATCAGTTGCCTTTCTTGTAACCTTCGGTTTAGAATATTCTTTGTCAGTCGTAGCAGTTCCTCTAGGTTTGCTAGCTTTAACTGCAGGTCTACGTTCTGTGCGCTCCTTGGGTTGGGCAGGGGCACGAGTCCTTCTAGGAGGCTCCTCAGAAGGCTGGCAATATTCATCATCAGAGTAATTTCTTCTGGTGCGCTTTTTAGGTTTCAGATCCTCATCCTCTGAGTCTGAGAAGTCTATGACCGATGGTTTGGCTGTAGCTCGGCGTTTCCTTGGTTCGAGTGCCATGGCCCGACTCCGAGGATGCAGTTACTGACCGAAATTGACACACGAGTTAGTCTTAAAATGTTTTCAATTTGCTTAAGTAAATCCACTTTTAGCTGGTATCAATTCAGTGTAGTGGAACCTTGAATTACAAACACGTAAAGACACTTTCTTCCTCTTGGAACCCGAGCGGTGAAACCAGAAACCAGAAAAGGTATACAGTTAATCTGATCGCAGAATTTCTCATCTCACAACAGTGTAGCTGTCAGCAGACGACGCCGGGCAGTGTTGCCAGATTGGGCTATAAACCGCAAATAGGGCTATTTTAGAGGATCTTCGCGCGGGTAAAACATGCCTACTGCGGTTAATCACATTTGGGCTATTATCCTTTTCCACTTGAAAGAATAAAGTTGGGCTTGGCGTGTGAAGCGAAGCACCTTTGAAATGATTCAAACGCGCGCGGTTGTTGCGATTTCCGCGCGCTCTGGCGGCGGGGTGGCGTACCAATCTTCTGCCTTTTGGCAACAGTGCCCGATTAGCAGAAAATATTTTTTAGTGACAGTCTATTGAACAAGCAAATGTTGTTTCCTGCTCAATACTCCGATGTGCCCTCACGATTTTTCTGCTCAAGTGGAGCAGAGAGGGACGAAGTTTATGGAAACAGTGGCGAGGTCGGAGAACGGCTGAAATGAAGACCCCAACTGAGAAAGCTTAGACTTTTACTTTGACGCATAACCTGTATCTTTGTTGTTGCTGATGAATAATGAAGCTTCAGCGGCGACTGCATGGCGTCAAAGCTTTCCGTTTCAAAGTTTTCGTCCTTGTTCTCTTCCTCGTTTTCTACTTGTTACTCGTCAACATATTTGTGGGTCCTGAGAGGTCACTCGTTAATAGTTTGCTTTCCAAATTCAATGGTCACCCCAGACGACCTGTCAGAGAGCTTGGTCCTCAACACCATGTTCGACGAGAAATTGATCCTCAGCTGCCCTTTGCCCCGGGATCTTTCCTGCGAGGTGAGCAGCCGCACAATGAAAGTTACTGCTGGTTTAAGTACGGAACCATTGATTCGTTTGATTGGGACAATGTGACCATTTCTGTAAGCCCTGAACTGAAGAAAAGAGGCCCGTACAGAGTTATCTACAATGTCATTGAAAGCATGTCAAAGAAGAGTGACTCCCAACCAGACGTAACATATTGTACACATATCACTCCCTCCTTCCAGTGCAATATACTTGAAATTGTGCGAAGATGGGATGGTCCAGTGAGCATTGCTGCCTATGTACCAGATTATGATGCCACTTTAAGTCTTCTTCTCTTCCAAAGAATGTGCCAATGTCTTCCAGAAATGGCCCGAGTTTCAGTGCATTTTGTATTTCCTGAAGAGTCACCACCTGTGTTTCCTAAGTCGTCTCAAGTGTCATTCAGTAGTTTGGAGTCCATTGATGCCTTCATTAAGTTTCCTGCAGACTGCTCATGCCCCGAAGCAGTTTTGAATGGAACATTGAGAACCTTTCGTGAGGAAAGTGGCCTAACTTACCCAGTGAATGTTGCCCGGAATGTGGCTAGAGAGGCATCACACACAAGTCATGTTCTGGTATCAGATGTTGAACTTATGCCAAGTCTGAACATGGTCCAATCATTTCGACTCTTACTCAAAAGTTACATACCAGCCCAAGCGTCACCTGCAAGGCATGTATTTGTCCTGCCAGTTTTTGAAATAGAGTCAAGAGTTCGAACCATTCCAAGCACAAAAGAAGAGCTCCAACATTTGTACAATGAAGGGCAAGCAGTGTACTTTCATCGCTGGGTCTGCTTGCATTGTCAGCGTTTTCCAGGATTGGAACGTTGGATACAACGCAGGAAAGGAAGCCCATTTCCAGTAAGCAACACTGTTGGGCCAGCCCCACTCAAGGTATGAACTGTCACTTATTGTCCTGCTTTTTATTTGGTGCTGACAATGGAACCAACTTATCTTATGTAAACTGTAATGACTTCCAGGCTTTGATGGTGGTTAGACGGGAGTTCCCCCACCATAGATGGGAGCCAATTTATATTGGAACAAAAAATGAACCTTTGTACAGTGAATATCTTAGTTGGGAAGGCAGGCAAGATAAAATGACACAGGTAAAATCCTTGACTTCAAGTAAATTGGAAATTTATTTGTGGGTTGACAATTACAATCTTGACATAGAAATGACTGCTTCTATCCCTTTCCAGATGCATGCAATGTGCCTTTTAGGGTATCGCTTTGTCATTTTGGATGGAGGTTTCTTAGTTCACACCCCAGGGATGAAACGGCCAGGACGGAAACATGCCGAATCAATTGCCTGGCGCCAACCTCATGAAGAAGTAAATGCCAAACTTTATGAAAGGATTGTACGGGCCACTGAAAACCGTTTAGGTAGTCGCCCTGCTACATGCCGATTACACTGAAAGGAAAGGTATTTTGAACCACTCATCCCATTCTCCTTCCTCATTTCTCCTTATACTACATAATTTGTTGAGTCTGTTTACTTCATTACATGCTTGAACTTTCCAGATGTTTTCCGAAGATACTTTGGCTATTTTTAGAATTTCTTCTACTTCATTATTCGAAGTGCCGTCCTCCAAATCACACTTTAATAATAGTGGTAACGACTGCTAGAATTTTTAGGCTGCAACATTTTATAGACATAGTCCATTGTTTGTTTTTAACTGTCTTGTTTGTTTCCAATTTTTTAAAAACTTTTTTGCCTAGTATTACATTAGCTCAGAATTGTTGATTATTTTTAAGCTGTTGCAAAGTTTAGAATATTTATCCTGAACTGTTCTCCTGTTGAAGGATAGGATTGGATCTAATAGTTTTTGAATGTTGATATTGGCTGATCGTTAGTGTTAGTGTCTTGGAAGCATGTTGCGAATTCCATTACAAAGATCTCATGGTTTAGATTGTAGATGTACCTTTTGTGCAGTCCATCTTATAAATGTGATATCTCTATGCAAATACAGGAAGAAGTTGGTTTAGATTTCTGCATTGTTGTGCTCAAGAAATTTTCTGCTCATCCAATCATTTCTGGTATTATTTCAAAATAGGGCAAAGAGATACAACTACCTAACTGGTATTTCTTTGAAAGGCGTATGCATTGGATGGACCACAGAAGCAGAGGTTAAGATCTCATTAGAGCATTTTAGGTTTTGGACTGTTTTATCTTTTTCTTATTTGCATGTAATTTTTTCAAAAATTTGTGGATTTTTTATACCTACTACCACACTTGATTGGGAAAAAAAATCATTTAAGAAACCAAGTTGCAAAGTTGTTTTACATGCTGCAAGGGAATGCATTCCTTATTTTCAATAACAAAACATAAAACAAAACTGAAATTTAGAGCTAATCTTCTGGCCTATGCCTTAGACTGGTTGCTGCAGTGACAAGGAAATTTTGTATTGCACTGAATAGTGTTTTGTTAACTATCCCTAATATGTAGGGCCTAAATGTCTAGTATGCTCAAGAAAATTTGTCATGTTTTGTAAAGTTCAAAGCTGCTAACACATTTTTTGTGCTTGGTTGCTTTCCATATCATGTGAGTGAAGTTGTGTTTGAGGGCTTACATCTGTTGGTTGTGTAATCTTGATCAATGTCAGTGCCTTCCAAGTCTAGTAGTAGATCTAGTGTGGAACTTATTTCCCCATTCAATAGTTTAGTTTATTTCTTCCGAGCTTATGAAGTAATGTTAGTCTTTTTCTACTACTTTGCTTACATGAATTATAACTTTGACTTTTTAACACTATATTGCCTTTTCAGATGGCATTTTGACTTTATATGTCTTTCTATACTCATGATTTAATTCTTGTTCTTCTTGAGACAATAAGTGTTCCATGTTTTTAAAATTCTTCTCTTTTATAGGGCTGTGAAAACTACCTATGTATTAGAAGCACAAATACTAGTTAGATTGTTAATGATATTTAGAATACTGTCCTCTATACCCTTTTCTCTCTCCCCTCTCTTCTCTTTCTCTTCCATTTCCAATATTTTTCTTTCTTCATTTGTAAGTTTCTTTTATATCATTATTGTTACTTGATTCTTCCAAGTTCAGCAACTCTTAGAATTACTCATTGTTAATCAAAATTTTTCAAGGGTCCTCTTTTTCTTCTTTGTTTTTATTTTCACAAGAGGAGGACATAGGTCCTTGCAGTAACAACTAGAAGTAGGAGCCGTCCTGCCCTAAAACTGAGAATTAGTACTGTATCATGGAGACTTCTCAGGTACGTTTATCATCTTTTTTACGCCTTATGTGATACATGTATTTCTAGTCAGTAGTGTTAGTTTTTTACTACAAGTCCTTAATTACCATTGTGCAGCGCACCAAAAATGAAGTCAAGCTTTGAAAATGGATTTTTTGGAACTGTGAACACTGTTTGGGTCGATGGTAGAATTCTTTCCCCCATTCTCTTTTCAGGCTGTGACCTATGCCCCCGTACTGGCGGATTAAAGTAACCCTGTTAGATCTTACTTTACCAGAAATTGGCCCTTGGGAGCCGCGGGTTAAACTCTCTAAGCGTCTCTAAACGCTTGCACATGACAGAAAGGGTTTCTAATGCAGAGCTCTACATGTTGCAAAGAGAGGGGTTCCGTGATTGATTGATTGTTTTGTTTGTCAGAAATCCAGTAGATGGTGTCCTTGTTTTCATGTTTACTTTTGCAATTGTTTTGTTGTTTCTGTTACTCCCAAAGAACACAAAATCCTCACCATGATGTCATCTGATGTCAAAATGACTAATTTAAGTCAAAATTTTGATCAAAGAAGCATAAGTTTGGCATTTTGACTTCCTTTGACTGCTGGGTGACTGTCTTGTCTGTGGGCTTCTCTTCCATTAAAGTAAAAGGAGAATGAAAACGCTTGTTTGTATGTGTCCCTGTGAATCATATTGATGTGAATCGTATTTCTTGAATACAAATTCGGAAAACTAAGGACTGTACTTTGCAATTTTCAAAAATGCAATAAAGGTGTAATAAAGAACTGATAATGGAAGCAAGAAACTTAATTGGTTTTCATTCACATTTAATTACACAAGTTACACATTTTATGATAAAACAAACATTAGAAACATGAACAAGTAGAATATACTATCACAGATACGAATAATCTCTATGGCACAGAGTATTAGTTGATTTACATTCGCTGCAGCAAACATGAAAGTGATGATGGAAGACAAAATAAATGTGTGGTAATGAACAATGAAGGGATGAGAATTAATTTATGACAATGATAGAATGTGAGAGAGGAAGGAAGAAATGTTCAGATCTAACATAATTATTTGGCATTGGGTGACATGACTGGGAGAGTATTTAATTTGCATTTCAGCACAGGTATAGTTAGTAGTATCCCATGTCCAGGTGATCTGGTGTCCTTTGAGTAGTAGGAATCAATTCAACTGGGAACTTCAAGAGTCTCTCATTGGGGTATGCGGGTCGTTCAACTACCCCATGACCAAACTTTAACTCAAGAAATTCTCGAATATTATTTGGTGCAGACACATTCAGACCAATAAAAGAAATAGTAGACAATGGGTTCAGAAAATGAGCTGGAAACTCTCTGTCCTGCTTATGAGTTTTGAACCAGGTGTCTTTAGTCATTGTTCCATTTTTGTTGTAAAATGGGAAGAGATCAACATGCAACCTATTAGATCTGCTAAATTGAACACGATAAAAATCTCCCTCTGTCGCCTTTTCCCAAACAAAACCTTCAGTATCTACAACAGGAGATTTACTTGCTCTCAACAGCCATGATAGTTTTGGCAAATCCTCCCTCATAAAGCCCAAATCAACATCATAATCCCAGGGCAAAATATCAAAGGAGCGCATAGCCCCAAGTAGGGAGCCCCCCTCCAACCAGTGCCTGTCATCAGAAAATTACATAAACAGCAAGAACCAGATATTGAGGGGGAAAAAATTGGAATTATAACTCTTACCTGATACCAGCAATTTGCAGCTGTTTGAAAACATGTCGAGCAGTAGTTCTGAGAGCATTCAGACAGCAAGGCGGTGTCCACTTTCCTTCAAGTAGATACGATGGAGTGTCTCCCACAACGGTGCCAAAGCAACGGGCTGATTCTCTAGTGCAACCATACCTGACATAAAAAAAATAAAATTTGAAAACTAACAGTTTTTAAAAAATGGAAAACAGTCTTGCTGAATTGGTATATTTCTAACCATTCATCTTTGCCTCCACGGACTACGCGTTTGATGGACAATCTCTCAAACATGCGTTGTTGCCGTTCCTGGTTAAGACGGTGTTTCTTCCAAAGAATATGTTGTGATTGCAGTAAAGGACGACCAGATGACCAGACTACAGTGCGGAGAAGTCTTGTCTAAAATGAACAGGTATTATGGTAAAAACATGCACTGTGAGAAAATATCTAAAAAACCTTTCTGAATAAAGACAAACCTTCATATTTTTGGCTTTGGCCTGAATGTAAAGTGCATCAGGGAATGGCAGTATTAAGGGATCTGGAAGTTTCATTAGTGCTTCTTTTTCAACAAGGAGAACATGTTTTCCAGTCACTCCATCACAAAATAGTTCACTTGGTGTGATGTTGTAGACCAATGTCCACTTAAGTGCCTGCAGATCCATCTTTTGGCAAGATGTGAGGGATACCTGATTTCAACAGAATTGTTAAATTGGAATGGAATAGATATTGTTTCAATGAAACAATGAACTTAAGAGCTTACCTCCGACACAGGTGCGGCAAGAATATGGACATTTGGTTCATCCAAACCTTTTAGTAAAGTAACAAATGAGTTTCTTGTCATTGGACGTACTGAGTCTGGTACAAAACAGATATACTTTGTCTGGACATGGTAGAGGAGGTCTCTATCTTCTTTATACCCTCCAACCTCTAATTTTAGATTTATCACCTTCACAGCAGAATGGTCAAAATACTTCCACTGTAGTGGAGGATATATTGGAGAGTTGCTGACAATGATAACTTTCAAACCGGGAACAGTTTTCAACAAAGATTTCACTGTCTCAACGACATCATTGTCATAGTGCTCAAAATCTCGTATGACAACAGTGATAAGAGATTCAATACTAGAGTAGTTTCTGGCTAGACCTTTCCCTTCAGGTATAGAAGTTTCGGTATTGTCTTTACTTTTAAGGGTTATTTGCTTCCAGATAACAAGAATAATAATAACGCTGACAGCTATGAAGGCTAGGGTGTACAATCTTCTTTTAAGCCGCATATTAAGGCGTGAAGCGGACATTGGATTGAGGCTCATGCCAAACCAGTTAAAATATTCCGGACAGATTGCGGAGGATAATCGGGCCGCAATGTATGACCCATACGAAGGCCTCTGCACAATTTTCACTCATAATTTTTGCCAACTGTGTGTATACAAACACTGCAGACTACGCAAAGTGCCGAGTTTCTGCTAAAATAAACGCCTTCTGTAACAGGTAAGAACGTTCCGTTTGGTTATATTTTCCTGCAAATAGCGACCAACAAAAAACAGACAATTCTGCGAATAAGATTTACGCGGCGCCGCCGCTGTAACGTTCAACAGTTTAATTTGTTTATACTGCATTTTAAGGCGAAATTGCCTTTTAATCAACGAGCCACCAGCCAGATTTTTTCAATGGAAACCTCTTGAAAAAAAAATTATCTAAGATGAAGAACGAATCACCTAGTTTTGGGGAGAGGATCCAGGTTTGTTTGGTCCTGTTGACATTAGCAACAAGTGCTTGACATTTATATAATTTTAACTTCCAACGCAAGATTGTTTGTTGCTTGTATGCCCTCTCAAAATTACCAAAAATTCCAATGCCTGTTGATCTACTCAAATTCGTCGCCTTTTTTTATCACTATCTTGGTTGGGGTGTCAGGTTAGGGGCAGTGTAGGAGGTTTCTGAATTGAAGTAATTCAGAAGTAAGAGGAATCCTTAAGAAATTTGATTCTTGGACCCTCAAGCCAACCAAACGACTTCATTTTATTCACATTCCTTATGTTTCCAATACTCATATTCTGTGCTATAGTTTTCAAGAAGTCAGTCTTAAGATTTCTGTTTGTTGACAGGATTACGAAGTTGGCGATGTTCTTGGTAAGGGTGGATTTGCGACAGTTCGCAAAGCAAGATGCAAGAAGACTGGACTGGAAGTTGCAATCAAAATGGTAAGTTTTTTCTGTGCTTCAGATAGGTGTGTTTATTGTGGGGTGTCTAATATTTGTGTGTGAATCCCAAAACAGATTGATAAAATTCAAATTAAGGCAAATAAAGGCTTGGAAGTCAGAGTTTATCAAGAAGTTGCTATTCACTCAAGATTGAAACATCCTGCTGTTCTTGAACTGTATACGTTCTTTGAAGATGACAAATATGTGTATCTTGTGCTAGAACTATGTCATGGTGGTGAGCTACAGAAATATCTCAAGAAGCACAACCGTATTCTATCTGAGGGTGAAGGTATTTATCAACCCTGATTTCAATTAATTGACCATTTAATAAGTGTTTTGGTTACATTAAATTTTTTCTTTCAGCGAGTCATATTTTGTCTCAAGTTGTCCAAGGACTCCTATATCTTCATTCTCATAAAATTCTTCACAGAGATATGACTCTATCTAATTTACTATTGACCAGTAAAATGCAAGTTGTAAGTCCTTCTTATATTAACTGCTTTATTTTTGTCTCATGTCAGATTACATTTTTTTTGGCAGCTCCTGAATTGCTTCCTTAATTTGCAGAAAATAGCTGATTTTGGTTTAGCTACACAATTGAATCGGCCAGATGAAAAGCATTTGACAATGTGTGGCACACCAAACTACATCTCCCCAGAGGTGGCAACACGCAGCTCTCACGGTCTGGAAGCAGATGTGTGGGGGCTTGGCTGCATGTTGTACACGCTTCTTGTTGGACACCCTCCGTTTGACACTGATGCAGTCAAGAGTACATTGACAAGAGTTGTCATGGCCGATTATACGGTAGTATATTGTGAATGTAGCTATGTTGTCTTGACATCAGCATCAGAATGTTCAATGAAGTTAATTTTCTTGTAGGTGCCATCTTATCTATCATCAGAGGCTCAGGATCTAATTAACAAGTTATTGAAGAAAAATCCTCGAGAACGCATTAGTCTGCATGGCATTCTAAAGCATCCTTTTTTGTTGTGTTCCAAGCAGAATCTCATTGAAAAGGTCAGCTCCCTATGCCTGCCCCCTTTTTTTTGTGTGTGTGTGTATTTTTTGTATTAGTTGTCCAACTCTTAAATTTTTGTAATGTTTTTGCAGAGAAAGTATCCTAATAGGGAATCTGAAGATAGTGGCATGTGCACCATGACAACCGAAGGGACCCACTCTCTGCAACAAACCAGGGATACATCGGCCAGCAAAGATCGACACAAGATGTCTGCTGGACCCATGACTGTGGCTGCCATATTAAAAGAACAGAGCCAAGGCAGCTTTGGTTTAGAGCCCTTTTCCAACCCTGCCTTTCCAAAATCGCCTCATGGATCATATCATAACCATGAAGAACATAAAGGCAAACATCATGACAATGTCCGAAAGAGACATAATGAGGCTTATAATCATGTCTCAGACAACATCGACCCAGACAGTGGTGATGACAGTGAAGGTGATCAGTATGACAATGGGCTCCCTGGGGCTCTTCCTCCTAGAAGACAGTTAGCATTACCATTTAGAAACAGATCACGGTAGGTGCCATTTTATAGCTGTTGACTTTTAAACAGCTCATAAGAAAACAAATTGAATCAATAATTTTTTATTATTTCCAGATCGGAGGACCGATTTCATGGGACAAGAGGCATGAGTAATAGTTACCTAAAATCAAAACTCAGTGGCTGTGAGCCAGGAGAGTACACTAGTTTGCCTTCAAAACATTGTCACAACCAATTTCTGCATCCTGCTTGTGACACCTCCTACCATTCTAAGCCCAAACATGCAGGGTGCAGGCACAATCGTATTAATGGTGTGTCAACTTGCTCTGCTGATTGTACAGCAGAATTGAGTTGGAAACCCGCAACTCTGGCTCGATCTCAAAGCTTTGGGCATAAATCCTCCGGCCGATGTGACCCTCCCAAAACTGATCGTAATTTTCTGGACGAAGAGAGAGGACATAGTAATGGCAAATCCTGTTCACTTGCCCGCAAAATGGGTGCAGTTTCAATTGATTGCCATTCAAATGATGCTGACTGTAGTGCTAAATTCGGGCCTGCAACATATCAAAGCCAAAGAACAGGGGACAGTTGCAGTCACCATTCAAAGAATGCAGAGGAAGATGATTTACCAAAAAGTGTTCATTCAGTGAATAGATATCTAGATCCCCAAAATGTTCCTTGCCATATAAATGATGAACATAGCTCTTCACCTTTATTTGACCGCAGGAGAAGTCTGGACACAGATGCATTGGGCTCATTCAAGACTTCTCTCAATATGGAAGAAATCCAACATCTTTTGGTAAGCTTTGCTGTTTTCATAACCTGTCAACATTTTGATCTTAAGTCTCTTCACATTCTCACTTCTATTTTTATCAGTTTGGTGGATCTACAAATTCCAAGGGTAGAGAATCCAGCTCTGGAGGTCGAGCATCTCCTTTAAATACTCTGCGTCTATTACCAACTCGCCATCGCACAAAGAATGCTGTCCTCAGCATATTAGAGTCAGGAGAGGTCGTCATCGAATTTCTCAAAAAGAAAGGACCATCAAGAGAAGAACGCGTGGTTGATGTCTGCCGTATTTCCAACGATGGATTGAGGGTAAAATAATAATTTTTTATGATTAATAGTATATGACAGGAGATTTACATATCATACTAATGAACTCAACCATTTTTTACCTCAGATCGTTTTGTACCAAATGAATGGTGGGAGAGGGTGCCTAGCTCGTGATAAACCTCCCGACTTACCTGAACAAGGAGCAGATGCTATTTACAGGTAATGTGCAATCAACTTTTTCGTTCCTTTTCTTTTTCTTTTGTATTAAAAGCAGTAAAGTTAATTTATTCTGCTATTGCCAAACTTGTTGTTCCCATTTTAAACAATTTTTTAATAAAAATTTTGCACCTACTTGTATTTTAGCTATGAGTCGCTTCCTGAAAAGCATTGGAAAAAGTACGAATATGCTGTCAGGTTTGTCAATTTAGTCAGTGCTAAAACACCAAAGGTAACATTGTATAGTGACAAAGCTAAATCCCATTTGATGGAAAACATGCCAAATCCTGATTTTGAATCATGCTTTTATGATGGTAAGAAGAAGATTCCAGTTCAAACATTCTTACTACTTTTTTGTGTTTGTTTTATTTGTCATTGGTTTTGTTATGTTTTATTCAGGAGGTAAAATCTCAAGGACAAATGAGGGTGTGCGACTCATTGACCAAGATGGGCGAAACAGCCTGATAGTTTCTCAGGACCACGCCCTAAGTCTTTCCCAAGCTCCCCAAATGTTGTGGGATCATTTCTTGCAGGTAAGCTAACAATTGTTATCATCAATCTTTTTCTTTCCCTTCACTTCAACTAATTGCTATCCCATGGAAATTTCAGTGCTTTCAGCATTGCGTTATGTTGGAACGCTGTCTGGCTAGACTCGCTGGAGGGAGCTCCACTACGCAAGGCGGATCAAGATGTGTCTTCCCTGTCATTGTTGGTCGCCGCCCTCATGTACCTGCCATAACTCTACAGGGCAAGGAGAATATGGCTAATGTCATGCATGACCATCATGTTAGAGGGCCTCTTATCTCTCCCAACACACCAACTGTAAGATGAAGAATTATGATGCTGTTGTTGCATTTTAATCACATGGTTGATTCACTGGTATTAATGCAATCTGTCCTTATTTCAGCTCAAATCATTTGAAGTCTCTACTATTTCCACTGTTCCCATGCACTCAAACAAGGTTTGTAGTCGTCCTCCACTGCTACAAGAAACACCAGTGTCACGAACAGGCAGCAGGCATAGTGCTCGAACTAAGAGGGCCATCTCACCCACTGGCACAAGCAATGGTATTCGAAGAGTGGACATATCTGGTCTAGGAACTGCCACACAGGTATACTATAATCCAATTCCTTTTCCAGCTGTAGGTTTGTTTGAGTTAAATTAAAATTATTTTGTTCTAGCTTCCCTCAGGAGAAGTACGAATTGATTATTACGATGGATCCCAATTAAGGGTTCACCCCTCCAATAACGGCATCAGTTACCATTGTGCAGATGGTTCTCAAGTTGTGAGATGTGGTCCAGAAGATACAGTTCCTGAATGGTTGCGAGATCGGTTAGCCCAAGTTCCAAGGATCATTCAAAGTCTTGCAGAAAAGACACCATCTTGCACTGACAATATGCCAAGAGTGTTGCACAAACCCAAAGTTCGATCGTTAAGATAATGAATTATGAGGTTTTTCGTTTGGCCTCTTGTTGTCAGCATCCGTCCTGTATCAATTCTGTGATTTTGTTAGATTAATTCTGAATGAACTTGATGTCTAGAAAAGTAGATTTATTTAAATATTTTAACCCTCAAATGTTAATGTACAAAAAGTATATTTATATGTATATGTTTTCTATTTTCCTACTTTTGTTGTTAGTATTGATTGAAACTAAAAACTTTTACTTTTATTGTGTCTGTGTCTGTGTGTGTGTGTGTGTGTGTACAGAAAGGGATATTTTTCATTGCTCTGAACCATCATAGTCTTTGTGAATATCAGCACAATGGAGGACTGGTTTTATCGCTGTGTGTTCTGAACATTGTCTTATTCAAAATGTATTTGTATTTTTTAATGTATTGTTTGATTTTTCACACAAATAGAAGTTGTCTGGAAGATCATACGAAGTCAAGTCGAACCTATCCTATATTGAAGTGAGAAATTAAAACCTTATGGAATAATAAAGATATTTAAAAAAAAAGAGAGACTGAATTTTGTTTTGAAACACTCGTTTGCGACCGATAACTTTGACCCTGTTTGCCTACATGGCACACTGGGCTATACTTGGAGTCTTTTCTGTGACATCACATCTTACCAGAGGAGCATTACATCCTTGATTACCACACGAGAACGAGCTGCACATGGCTTTTTCAAGGTAGCACCATTCGAAAAATGCGCGCCAACACTGCGCCAGTCTTTTGGCTCGCTTTCAGGCGATCGCAGCGCCACGGCGCCGAGCGCTGGCGGTGATACGGCGCACTAGAATCACAGAGCATGTATACTCGTCCCAGCGTAACCTTTCTAAATCACTCCGCCAGTAGCCAGAGAACAGAAAATAGTCCCGCAGGTAATGCGGTTTTTTAAAACTAATACTCAACCCTGGACCGTTGCCATCATAATTAATCGTATAAATAAACAACATTGAAAAAATACGAACAATTTCAGACTTTATCATTAAGCATTCCGGGTTTGGCATTTCCGCGGGCAGACGACGTGCCGGCCCGAGCCGCTTCAAAACAACGGTCTCTCGGAACCTCTTTTCGCACTTACATTGAGTGACTGAAAGAGATTCCATTAAAGGAGCTTGCATAGGTCTAAGCCCCACACTATTTTGTATGCCCAGCTCGCGTTCATTTTGTGTAATTCTGGCTTATTCTTTTAAGATTTTGGTTTAAATGCACCAGGTTGGCTTCTCCTCTGAACCGTGGTCCAAACTTTCTGCATTAGGTTTGAGCAACTGGAAGAGATTCAATAATAACAACTTATTTCAGTCAAAGGTCCACACATTTTTGTCTGCCCCGTTCACCTTCTTTTTTTGAAATTTTGTCTCATTCTTTAGAAGTTTTCGACTGTGTGAGAGAGGTCGGCTTCTCCTCTGGACCGAGCTCCAAACTTTCTGCATTAGGTTTGAGCAACTGGAAGAGATTCGATAATAACAACTTATTTCAGTCAAAGGCCCACACATTTTTGTCTGCCCCGTTCGCCCTCATTTTGAGAATCAATCTTTATTTTGGGAGAAACATCGAATAATCTGTGCCAATGTGGGGATAAAACGGCCAAGGAACTACTTTCGGAAAGGTTACGCTGGGACGAGTATAACTTATCGCTCCAGCAACAGCACGGCCCGTTCCCGTTTGGCAGATTTAGAAGAGCCTAGTGTCGAATTTGCTTGCAATTCCTGGCGTTAGTTTGGGAATTTGAAAAGAGAATTGTTCCCCATTCAAGAGCTGTAGCTCATGGGGTTGGCGGAGTTCGTCCTTAAAATGTGTTGTTAGGGAAAAACAGTGATTCGGTTAGTAGTAGTCTTGAAGCGCTCTAACCTCCTCACCTCTCCACTGTGTTGTCTGTTGTCATCACGTTTTATGTTCGCAACTGCTTTCTCACAGGATTCTTTGACACCAAAGTTCGTGTTGTTTAGCACCATCATGCCACCTCTCAGAAGATCCCCGGTGAAGGTGCCAACCACCTCATGTCGTGTTTGTTTGAGCAATAATACTGTTATGCTGGAGGTGTTCGGGACCGAGTCGCAACCAGTTTCGTACGATGAAGACATCAAAAAGTGCTTATCTATTGAGGTTCGTTATTCTTCTATTCTTTCTTGCATGACGTTCGTACAAATTTCGCTCAGGGTCTCACAGTATCTCACGTTGCTCACGCTCTGTATTCTTGTCATGCATTTTCTCCCCTCTTCTCTGTAAATGTATTTTACATTAATTTTATAATTTATTTTTATATTTATGTGATTTGCTGTAGGTAGTGACCAATCGACTGTGACCAATTATCATATGAATGCCCCTTTTCTTTATTTGTCAACTAGGGAAGATAGATCTTCACAGAGTTTCTTATTTATTCTTGTATTTTGATATTCTGTTCAGGTGAAGAAAGGAGATGGCCTACCTTCCAAAATTTGCATAAAATGTGCTGGGCTCCTAGGGGAATATCGTCCTTTTGTTGACAATACCCTTGAGGCAGAATCTGAGCGCAGCAGCAAATGCGACTCGACATCTGGCTCTAACACAAGTTGTCATTACTGCCTCACTTCTGGAAATATTCTATTTCCGGTGCCAGAGACTTCAATCGTCAAGACCAAGGAATGCTTTGCATTCGAGGTTACGGTATGTAGTTGGTTTAATTCTTTCTTAGTACATTTTTTTTCTTAAGCCGGTTTTAAACCTTCGGTTTTTGCTGCTCTTTGCTTGCAGGCTAAGAACCAAATTTGTGTTCGTTGTCAATTCCATCTTGAGGGCCTTCATGAACTGAAACAAAAGGCTTGTGCTGCTTTAAAACAGTTTAATTTGAATTCAGTGGCTGTTCAAAAGGTAAGACATTTAAATTATAAAAATTTAAACTTTTAGATAAAATCAAATACTTTTGTTTTATGTTCTTAAATTTTCTACTCGTTCTCTCCACCAGAAGTTAAGCCCTGCTAGAGTAAAAGAGCCAAGTGTTGACGATAAGGTAAGATATTTAAATTATAATCATGTAAACTTTTAGATACAATTAAATATTCTTGTTTTATATTCTAAAATTTTCTACTCCTTCTCTCCGCCAGAACTTAAGCCCTGCTAGAGTAAAAGCACCAAGCCCTGCTAGAGCAAAAGCACCGAGTGTTGAAGATAAGGTAAGGTATTTAAATTGTAATGTGTTAACTTTTAGATGTAATCTAATATTCTTGTTTTATGTTCTAATAATTTTCCATTCCTTCCCTGCACTAGAAGTTAACCCCTGCCAGAGCGAAACGGTCAAGTGTTGATGATATCGTGGTCGATTTGAAGGACAAGTAAATACTGTTTCTTTTTATTTTTGTTTTAAATTCTGACTTTGACGTTCTTATGGTGATTTCTTGTTTTGTTTGTAGATGCGACACTGAAAAACTGAAAACAGACAAGAAAATGGATTTGAAGGAGGTGTCTGTGTGTTTACTGGACATTGTCAAAATTTTGGGTGAAGAGTTGCTGAAGGGAACAATCAGTGCAACAAAAGTTTTTGAGCGGTTGCATCCCCCTCTCCGTGTTAATGGACATGCACCAGTAAAAGCCTCCTCATCTAAGACCCCCAAACAACAAACCACAAAGAAGGTCAATGAGTCAGTCATCAGGGAAAAATCTCATCTCCCTAGTAAGAGTGATAAGCAACCAACACCCAAGAGAACCCCTAAGCCTCTACCAGTAAAAAAGTCTAGAAGACTATCTAGGCTCAGTGACCCAGCAGAAAGTGATCTTTCTGATGAACCTGCACTTGAAGGTAAAAAGAGGATCAGAGAAACAAGTGAACCAGAAACTGACATCTTGCCCAGGAAGTCTAGAAGGAGAAGTGAGTCAGAGAGGTCAGAATCAGAAAAGTCTCTAGCTGATGTAGCGCACGAGAAACCAGAAAAAGACCCTCCAACTTTTGTAAGTGCTGACTCGTCGGGGAAGAAGTCAGACTCATCAGAGAAGAAGTCAGACTCATCAGAGAAGAAGTCAGATTCGTCAGAAAAGAAGTCAGACTTGTCAGAGAAGAAGTCAGACTTGCCAGAGAAGAATGCTGATTTGCCAGAGAAGAAAGCTGGCACAGAGAAAGAAGAGGACCAGCTTATGAAAGAATCCTCTAGTTTTACAGATGAATCAGTTTCGGAAAGGAAAAAAGGTTCTAAAAAACCTCGATCGAAGAAAGAAAAAATGGAATGTGACTCCTCTTCTGACAGTGTTCAAAAACCATTGCAACCTTCCATTGTGCGGCCTGCTGCTGATGGAAGTATCACTGAAAACGGGCTTGATTCTGAGTCCCCTAAAACGAATAGGAGAAGGACTAAGAAAGTGGAATTCGCCATGGACCTCGACGCTGACGAAGATGATGAGGACGTTAAAATGGGGAGTAGAAGAAAACGCAGGCATAGTGATGGTGACGATTCTTACAGCCCTAAGGTTAAAGGTAAGGGTAGAAAGAAGTTGCGGGAACCCTCCAATAGTGATGATGAAAATGATGCGGATGAGTCTTCTATTAGTAAGCAAATTGCGCTTGATCAGCCAGAGTATTTGAGAGAATTGGATGACTTGCTGAAATTCACCCCAAAGGCAACATTTAAACCCTTTATCTGCTCTGTGTGCCATGAAGGCTACATCAGTACTGTAAAAGGAAAGTTGCACAAGCTTGTTGTCCACGATCCTCATGCAAATCTTGTTCTCAAGTTGACAAGATGTGATGGTGATAAGAGTTTAATGGAGGCGTCTAATGGAGTCATTGAAGACCCTGAAAAGAAATCAAAAGTTAAAATCAAGGTCGAAATTAAATCAGAGGCCCCTGATGAAGATTATGAAAGAAGCAAACTTGCTGTTCATAGTGACACAAGAGAAGCTGAAAGCAAACCAAGAAGGAATTCTGATGAGATTGCTGATGATGCTGATGACCTATTCAGTGACAAAGGCAACTGTAGTGCACCACCTACTGGGAAGAGCAGTGATGCCTTATTTAACTCTCTCTTTAATGAGCCAAATATTGAGAAGGTTTCTGTTGCTGCTGAAAGCAAAGGGGAAAGTAGTGAAAAATCAGATAAAAATGGAAAACTGGATGAAAGCAGCAAGACTGGAAATGACAATGATTCAGATGAGTGTGATCCTTTAAGTGTGGCTGTGCCTTGTGAGGAAAATAAATCAGAAATGGAAAGTAACAAACCAGTAGGAGATGAAATTTCTGAATCTGAATCTCCGACAGATGAAGGAATCTCCAAGCCTGCCTCTGAAAAGCCTTCAGAAGAAGAAACCTCAAGCCCAGAACAAGAAGTATCTATAGACAAAGAAACCACAAATCCTGAATGTGAAGTACCTACAGATGCAGATAGCTCAAAACCGGAAAGTGAAAAATCTCTTGATGACAAAAGCTCTAAAGCAGAATTTGAAAAACGATCCGAAGAGGAAAGTTCTAAATCTGGATGCGATGAACCTACAGGAGATGGTGAATGTGTACAACTCACTGAAGGAGAGAAATCTGAAGTTGAAGTGATGAGTTCTGAGAAACAGAAAGCCAGTGATGTCGAGGCGTCTGACCTAGAGCCAGAAGGTGAAGTAACACCGGAAAAGAACTGTGACAGCGTTGATAGCCAGTCAAGTGATGAGGTTCAAAATGGAGAAGAGACACGAAAGGATTCTAAGAGCAATAAAGGGGAGATTCCAAATTCTGAATATAGTGCATCAAATTTACATGAAGCAACTGAGCAAAAAACTGGCAAAATTGTTCCGATTGAAAATGAAGAAGCTGTGAGCTCTACTATTGTAGAAGACCAGTCACCAAGTCAGCCTTCAACAGCTGAGAGTCTGGACGGCCATGGAGATAAAGGGTCAGAGGCAGACGTAGAGAACAGCCCTGTGCCTGTTGACGATGATGATGTATCAGGTAGCTCGCATGCAGAACACAGTAAAGGGACGGTTGATGATGTTGACAGTACTACAGGTAAGGTTTGATGCAATGTCTTTGGATTGAGTTGTGAAGAGAATTGTATTAATTCGGATTATTGTTTGTATTTGTGTCAGCTACAGCTACCTCTGAAGTTGTGGATGAAGATAAGGGCGAAAATGTGGAGTCATCAAGTGTGGTGTCAGACACTTCTGCAGTGGATGCTGAGGGTATAATTGTTGGAGATGATTAAGCCAATGTCTTGGTACTGAATCTGTACATTTCTTTTGTATGCAAGAAAATTTCCTCTGGTTTCCATCTTAACTGCAAATACCGTTGTGTGTTGTCTAATTGTGTGAAATTTCCATGCTACTTGGAAATTTTTATTCCAACTTTTAGGGTGCCTATATGAACTTGTGCATTTGAAAAGTATATGAAAAGATATAAAAACTAAAGCAAAGAAAAAAAGAACTGAGTTAGTGTTGTTGAAGTTGTGTTAGCAAATTTCTTGTCTCTCTAATTTTCCTTTTGTTTTTTCTTTGAAATTTTTGTGGATATAACTGTGGTTGTTTGTAAATGTGTTGTAAAGTTGTTTTTTTTCTTCTGACATTGATTTTATTTGTATAAGGGAGCTGAGACCTTTAAAAGTAGAAGTTCAGAATTTGGCTTGCTATTTTTTATTTTAGTGTGGGTACTGGTGTTTGACACAATTTTCTCATTTTTTATTTGTGAAACATTTGAACACCTGTGTAAGATATTCAAACATAACATCTCTCAACAATTTTCCATTGTTTTTTTGTACTGTAGCAGTAGCTATTGCCTGTGTGCCACATTGAACAAATACCAGAAGAGAGAAAATATTTTGTGATGTCCACTGAACTGTTTTTGTATAGTCCCGTGAGTTAATTGGGGTAGTAGCTGCAAATTGTTTGGTGCCCAGAAGGTTTAGTACAACTACTGATGGGCATTTAGGTACCAATAAATTTTATGTAGGAGTGACATACGTACAATTGTTAGAAGAGGTCTGCAAGTTATCAGTTCTTAAGTGCAACTGAGGAACTCTTTTATGCTGCTCATGCTCTTTCAGCTATTGTCCGGAAATTCGGACTGAGCCCTCAAAGAATCCCATCTGATTCTCTAAAATGCATTCCCAGGGCGTGTTGTTATCTTCTCATTTCCACTGGTGTCAGACCCTTCCTATTTTAGCAGTCATTGAGCAATGAATGGAGCTGTCATGGGTCCTATCCTTAGTTTGAACTAATTGACATGGATGTGTCATTTGCATTACTATATTTTTATCTTATTTTTCATGAACTTTCAGATCTCTGTCGTAAATTCTGGCTTTAGTTTTTGGACCAAAAGTAAGTTTTAAACCTGATTATTTAATGTCTTTTAATTGTGCTTTCCTCACTTTTGCTTAAGTTATTACAAACTTGCTGTTCATTGCAATGATAGGTAGATTGTGGTTTTTCCCCGCAATGCCTGAAAAGATTACATCTCTTCCACACAATCTCACCATCACAGTACAAAATTATTTCATTTCTATTAAAATTTTCATCACATACTACTTTGTGTGAGTGTGTTTTGTCAATTTTTTTTTATGTAACTATTCAAAGAAATCTTCATTGTTTTTGTCCCACTTTGTTAATCTGAGTCAATGTGTTGATACTTTGTCTGTTGCTGTTATTGATGTTTTGAACTGTGTTCTTCTTTGCCTTTGTCTCACCTTGATTGAGAGTTTTCAGAGGAGTTCTGCAGTATTAAAATATGTTGATTGGACTACAATCTTAGCTTTTTCATTTCTTGATGCATGTGTATCTGACAACTCCTATACGAAACTGGCAGACTAACTGTTGTGGTTTTGCCGCCCTGAGTGTATTTTTATTACACCTTTTTAGCTATGCTGCCCTGCTGTTAATTTGGGAATGAATTGAAAACACAACAACTGTCAACTCAACATGTGTATTTGCCATAAAACTTGGGAGTTTGAGAAACCGTTCCAAAACTTGTTCCAATTCTCTCTCAAACAATTCTCAACAATGCCACTTGAGGGAAAACAATAGATCAACAAGTAGTTTGAGGTGAACTCAGCCTACACAAGCTGAGCTCTGTTGACGACTAGGAAGAGACAATGGTCAATAGATACAATTTTTATTTTCAGTATTGCATACCAATTGGTGCAAGAAGTACACATACAGTTGCTACTTCACCATTGATTATGCAAATATTCACTTTATCAAATTATTATACATGCACGGACTGAAAGAGAAAAATTACAAAACCTGTATTAGTCAATTGGCTCCAATATTCTGATATATACATGTGGTGCTGATAGCAAATGGATTGAAGGTCATCGTCGGCCCAATGAAGCGCTCATTATAGATGGGTTCTGTGATCCATGCTTTATTTACATAAAATTTAAATTTGGAATGTTTTTATGAATTAGAGGTCCGTTGTTCTGTCCTGGTGTATCTACTTTAGAGAATCTTAAGATTCAATTGTAGAGATGATACTGCATTGCATGCACATGGAAAATACTAATTGCATGTATGCTAGTAAATTAAATGTAATTATTTTTTAAAAGAAAAGATTGCTATTTACCGCCAAACTTTGTCAGTTGACGCAATGCTTCTTTTTCATTCAATTGAAAAGTTAAATGTATGATCTATTACAAACAAGATGTTATGCTCACTAATGGTGAGTCAGCAGGTGCACCTCAACAGTAAATTATTTATTTCCCCTTATTGCCTCTCAACAGAACAATGAAACTTTAAAATTTCAGCTGTGTATACAGCCATTCTTTGTATTTCTGCAAACAGTACAATTCTCAAAGATTAACATTGTTACAAAAGTCTACCAAGGTCAAAACTCAAACCATGAGTAAGGGCACACAAAAACGTACTAGGTAAACTCTTCACTTATTTCATTGCTTTTGTGAGTTTACATTGTGATGAGGCACTGAAGCTTTAAGTTTTAGGTGGTCCAACAGACAGCAAAGCAAACGGGAGTCTTGTTACACTGGGATACACTATATCATACAGCTGTAAGGCAAGTTGCTATGTTTATGAGTCACTTGTGTCCGCCGTGACAAGCCTTTTAGTGAAACAGACAACACCTGGCTACCCCCGGAAAACCCCATGCAAGCTGAACAAACTGAATTGTAATAATGAAAATTGTACACAGAAAACAGATAGGGTACAATAAGAGGAGGTACATAATCGATTTTCTAGCTGTGATTGTCAAAATTTTATAGAATCTTCTTGTCTATCTCTCTCTCTCTCTTATCCATTCCAGGGAAAACTTATTCACTACTGAACATTATTTTATATTAGGAACTTGCTCGGCTGAAATTGAAAGATTATCATTTATGTCTCTTAAGTGACTAGCATATTGAATGAAATAGATAGACTTTCAATTTTAATTAAAATTATACAAGAAAACAAAATATACAGATTCTGCAAAACACACTGTCTTCATCTACATAGTATAACATTGTCTGACCAATTTTAGACTAGTTCAATATGGAAAGTAGATATTTTAAGACAGAAGAGAAAGAAAGAATACAGGAGTGGTAAAGAATGTGATACAGTTAAATTAAAAAACACGTGAAAATGCAAATACTGATAAGAGCAGATCTCAAGATATAAGCATTTTATGAAATGCACCTTGACTTTAAACCCAATTACCTTAGATCATATGACTAGTTTTGTACACTTTACCAAAGTTTAAAATACATTTTCCTACTTTTGACGAAACACTTTGTTACATGGATTTACATGTGACCCCCTTCACCAAAGTCCCACAGCACTCTAACATTACAGCGAAATGTATCTGCTCATCTTAAATCTAGACAAATGATCATGTTGAGCATCAGATTTGTACAGTTTATATTGTCAGTTCACTTTTAACTCACTCAGTCCAAAATAAGGGGAGGGGATGTAGTCAAATTAACATGTAGACATGTAGGGAATTCCAAATCTGTGTTTTCCCCACAACAAATTAAAAAGCCTTGCATAATGAAATTTAATTGTACTGCCCGGTAGTGAAATTTAAAATTTACTATAGCATCAGAACTACTAACATTGATGCCTCATATTATTTTTCAAACTTTTTATTTTGAAGAGGGAATAGATGGAGCAAAATTATCTCCAACATCATTTTTATTCTATTTTCCACCATTATTTTATTTTACAAAGTTGCATATGCATGTTTTGACCACAAGTCGGGGGAAGGCGTATTGCTGCACATAATTTTCCCATTCCATTATGCATAGCTCCAAATTTTTCAAGAGATGGCGAGTCTTTTGGTAAATATTTTCAATGACCTGTCATCGTTTCAATGGTTCAAAACCTGAGCTGAACCCAAATTCTTATTCCGACAGTCGTTGAACTTTTGAGACAAATCTATTAGAAAAACAAGGAAACAAAAAACTTGCCCGTCGTATTTTATTTCGGCGAGACTGGAAGTACTGACTGAACACAGGGACATGGATGCAAGGCGACTTGGCGCTGCTTCGCGCTTTGCTCCGACTAGACTTTGCTAGGCTTGCTGCCTGCCGCGCGGGGCGCCGCTGGAGCCGCGGGCCGTAAGGGCTGACGAGGGCATGGGAGGGGGTGGGGAGGTCGGGGTGGTCTCTCTTTCTCTCTTGCTGGGGGCGGGGGGCGCCTCGGAGGCAGTGCTGCGCTCGCCCATAGCAGCCCATGACCCCGTCGAGCTTGTCGAGCTTGTCGAGCTTGGACTGGTGATAGTGTTGGTGGGGGTGGCGGTCTGGGACTCCCGGTTCGCCTCAGTCTTATGCTCTCCAGTGCGCTGGGTGTTCCGGCCGGTGGGAACTTGTTTAACCGACCGAACCGCCGTTTTCGGTGCTCGGGCCCTCGATGCTCCAGAGTCGGGCAGTGCGGTGGGGACGACGGGCAGTGCTCCCGGGGGCGGAGGCGGGGGCGGGGCGCTGCCTGCACTGCCGGCACTGGGGGTGGTGGGGGCGGGGGTAGGTTCGGCGGGACGTCCCCCACGTCCCCCACGTCCCCGCCCCACAGGGCCCAAGGCGCCCAAGGAGGCCCCCAGGGCGGCCCCCGCGCGGGGTCCCGGGACAGCGTCAGGAACACAACCGTAATCAAGACTGCAGCATAGACGTCCGTCCTGTGGGCACACACACGCACATCAAGAAGCCAGTCAGCAAGTCGGAAAGCACCCCGAAGACCGAAGGGACCGGCCTCCCCTCCAAACTCGGCTCGACCTTCCCCCGCCTAGCATTTCGTCGCGGCTTGGCCCGTTAGATAAGGCTGCCGTCGGTTCGTTAGGGTCGGCTAGAGTGAAGAAGGATGGCAACTAGACCCCTATCACAGCCCTACACCCCACAGGGCCCACACCCTAAACTTGAACAACGAGCGCACACGCCTTGGAAACATGCATGTAACAGGGCAGGCATTGAGGAATGGAAAAATTTGTGCTAAACACTCAATAAATTTCGTGAGGCTTTTTCAAGTGCAAAATTGTGAAGTGACATCCATATATCGTGTATGCAAACAAAAACTCAAGTCCAGTCTATTCAACTAATTTGTTGTCAACATGCACTGAGTGAAACTAGGTGTAACCAAAGACAAGTGCAAAGCTCACGCAGTAATTTCTCAGACAAATGGATAAAGTGCCATCCAGATGCAATTTTTCGCAGCTGAAGTGAAATCAATACCACTGTACAAATAGTGATTTCACATCAGATGGAAAAAAGCTGACCGGTTAGCACAGATAGAAGAACGAAAATCAGAAAAAAACACACTAAAAGATATGTCAAAGACAGTTACAGAAAAATGGAAAATTGTGCTCAAACAGAAAGTCAATTTGTGAAATGTTCTGGATTCAACGATTCAACCTACCTAGTTGAATATCACAATAGGTTTCTTGTGGTTGCCATAAGTGCGACACAATAATTAGAAATGGTAAATGAAAAACCGGATAGTACAAGAGAGGCAGCCAAAAAAGATTCAACATCATTTCCTTATTTTAGTGAGGTGTCAAGTCCAGCACCCACAAGAGAAATTTTGTAAATTGAGTGAAGATTGTGATAAATTTCAACTGCCAGAAATAAAGAGCATCCCCACCACCCACGTATTACTTTCCGAAACACGATCCAAGCCTTTGTTCCCACCCATCAAGGACAGCCTAGAGAAAAGATTGCAAGCCAGAGGAAAGTTAACTTAAAATTGATTAATTTTCAAAATAGTAGTGCTAATGAAGGGTGTCCCAAGGTTCGAACTTGAGGCAAAGATCGTGCTTGCGTGCTCGATATAATTAGATTAAAACAAAGTCGTGCCGTGAGCACTGTGTGTATCCGAGATATAAATGCAGTCAATAGAAATTTATTCGTCCACTGACTTAAATAATGAAAAAGTCAATAAAAATTCAATTGAAAATTATTTTTTAAATAAAGATAAATGTTTATAAAACGAAATGCAATATAGATTTGGGATGGCTCGGACACACACAGCACATTGCAAAGAGAAAAAGTGTATTTGAGTGATTTACCGATGCACATGACAACCTGCGCTAGAGCTCACCAGTTGGGCGCAGTAGGGCACCTGGAAACCAACATTAGTCACATGCGTTAGTCAGAACAGAGCCACAATCACTAGCTATTAGTCATGGCTCAAATAGGAGGGCTACATTAACAAATTCAAACAGCAGCAATCATTCTCACTAAGTTAGACGCCAAGACAAAGAGGGCCTAGTGTAGAAAATTTTCAACAAATTCAAACAACAACACCGCACACTCTCACTAAGTTAGAAAACGAGGTGAAACATTGCGTTATGGGTTCTAAAGTTGGCAGACTTTGCGATGAGAGGGCTGTGCGGCCGCCTTGGGCTGGGCCTGGCTGGCCATTGCCGTGGACTCGCTCCACAGTGGACCAGAAGACCGGTGTAGGCGGCAAAAATTCCACACGCGTTTTTAGCTAGTCGTCAAACCGAACGTGTGACCCCATCAATGGATTGCTCTCCGAACGAGGAATCCATTGGTGGTGTCACACGTTCGGTTCGAGTCCCATTCAGCGACTCTGGAGCTCAAAACGCGTCTAGAGTTGTGGCCGCCTCCACCGGTCTTCCGGCCCACTGTGCGCTCTGTCTGAGCGACGTTAGTTGCCACCGGCGGCGCGGCGCGGGCTGTCCTGGCCGAGGCCCTGGCCACGCGCACTCACTTTGCAGTTGCACGCCGCGCACTTGTCGCTCCACGTCCGCGACTCGCCGGGCCCCGGCGCGGCCGAGTCGTACAGCTGGCCCAGCACGGCGCAGGGCCGCGTGCCTCCACCGCTCTGCGTGCCGTTCTCGGACGAGTCCAGCGAGCAGGGCGCGTCGCCGTCATAGTCCTCGCAGCGCGGGCAGCAGTCCCCCTCGGCCAGCACTGGCGCGGCGCACCCCGTCGGCAGGGGCGGGCACTCCATGGGCCAGCAGTCCACCTCGCCGTACTGCAACAACAGCAAGACGGCGAGCATGAGGCGCAGCAGGAGGCAGCACTGGGGAACCAAGTTTGGGAACCAAGTTTGGGGAACTGCACACTGGAAATTTCGGAGATGTGGACTTTGCACAGGAAGGCCGTCCCGTGGAACAGGACTGCGTCTGGGACTGCCCGCTCGTGGCCCCTTACGAGGCTAGGTAGGCCGTCCCGTGGAACAGGGCTGCGTCCGGGACTGCCTACCCGCCAGGCGGCATGGCCCCTTACGAGGCTAGGTAGGCCGTCCCGTGGAACGGGGCTGCGTCCGGGACTGCCTACCCGCCAGGCGATTGCGATTGCGATTCATGCCTGGACCACAAATGATCGTCTGGCTTTCGGGCCCGCCCGGCCATGTCGGTGATACACCAGCACGTGACGGGGCGTCCCTACTGAGAGGAGTGGTTTTATCGGTAGACCGGGTACATACGCGGCATCTCTCCTCACGGCAGGATCCACCGTTCCGGGCGGCGCACAGTGGACCAGAATCCCGGTGGAGGCGGCCAAAATTCTTGGCATGTTTTCAGCTCCAGGGTCGCTAAATGGTACTCGAAACGAACGTGTGACCCCACCTTTGGATTCCTCTCTGAACGAAGAATCCATTGGTGGGGTCACACGTTCGTTTCGAGTCCCTTTCAACTCTGGAGCTCAAAACGCGTCTAGAATTTTGGCCGCCGCCACCGGTCTTGTGGCAAATCCCCTGCGGCTCGAGGCGTGGACTCGGATTGGCTCACCAGGCACTCGCAGGTCTGGCACTGGTAGATCCAGCGCTCCCCCGACCGGAAGACGACGTGGTGCAGTTCTTGGTGGCGGCAGGACGCGCTGGGGTCGCACTGCGGGCAGCACGCTCTCGGCGGCCGCGGCCCGGACTGCCCTCCAGTGCAGTCGCACTCCGGACCCCGGCAGGACAGGACGCCCCCCGAGCAGGAGCAGCGCTCGCACGGCCGGCCCGGCGGCACCGCCTCGTCGCCGTCGCCCACCTCCATGTCGCCCGCCACGCAACCTGGACACGGACAAGGACACGCTCAATGGGACTCGAACCGAGCGTGTGACCCCACCAATGGATTGCTCTCCGAACGAGGAATCCATTGGTGGGGTCACACGTTCGGTTCAAGTCGTGTTTAGCGACTCTGGAGCTCAAAACGCGTCTAGAGTTTCGGCCACCGTCGCCGGTCTTCTGGCCCACTGTGTACTCACTCAGCTTGCAGTTCGGGTCGTCCGGGCCGCACTCGCACGAGAAGCCGCCGTCCGTGTTGACGCACCTCGCCGACGAGTGACAGGTGTGGCTGCCCTCCGCGCACTCGTCCACGTCTGGAAACGAAAGGACCCAGGTTCAAATACCAGCCTCACCAAACACCAAGAGCGCACAACGCATCCAGAGCTACGATTCACTCTTGTGAAAAGAGCTTTCCAGCGAATGAAAGCATTACTCTCAGTTCTCAAAACCGTACCGGAATTTAATTTAATACTAAACATCCAGTGGCGCACGCAGCAGCGCTACTCACCCACGCAGACGGCGCCCTGGGCGTCGGTGGCGTCGCTGGCGTCGGCGGCGAGCGCCGCGAAGTCCTTGAAGGCCGTCCGGTAGCCCGGCCGGCAGCGGCAGTAGTACCAGCCCGGCATGTTGACGCAGTGGGCCGCGCCGGCGGGGCAGCGGTGCGTGCCCGCCGCGCACTCGTCCTGGTCCAGCTCGCAGGACGCGCCCTCGTAGCCCCGCCGGCACGCGCACTGCCCCGGCGACGCGCACGTGCCCCCGTTCAGGCACGTCTGGTTGCACACGGCTGCAACACGCGGATGCAGTTGGCGAACAGTGGGCCAGAAGACCGGTGGAGGCGGCCAAAACTCCAGACGCGTTTTGAGCTCCAGAGTCGCTAAATGGGACTCGAACCGAACGTGTGACCCCACCAATGGATTGCTCTCCGAACGAGGAATCCATTGGTAGGGTCACACGTTCGGTTCGAGTCCCATTTAGCGACGCTGGAGCTCGAAACGCGGGCGTCCTTACGTTCGCAGTTGAAGCCGTCCCCCTGGTAGCCGTCCGCGCACTGGCAGTGGTAGCTGCCCGCCGTGTTCCTGCAGGTGGCCGCCTCGTGGCAGCGGTGCCTGCCCGTCGTGCACTCGTCCACCTCGGCGCAGTTGAACTTGTCGACGCGCCGGTAGCCGTCCAGGCACTGGCACACGTACGAGCCGGGCGTGTTGGCGCAGCGCGTGTTGGAGTGGCAGTGGTGGCCCTCCAGGCCGCCCTCGGACAGGCACTCGTCCACGTCTGCCGGGAAGAATACTTGCTGAGGAATCGGCTGCTTTGGCGTTAGTTCACCGGTGGAACGAAGGCGTTAAAACGACGGCCTTCATTGCATTAAAGTCTGCCACGCTCTCCGAGCTCGCCAGAAGACCGGTCGAGGCGTCCAAAACCCTAGACGCGTTTTGAGCTCCAGAGTCGCTAAATGGGACTCGAACCGAACGTGTGACCCCACCAATGGATTCCTCGTTCGGAGAGCAATCCATTGGTGGGGTCACACGCTCGGTTTGAGTCTTATCTAGCGACTCCGGAGCTAAATACCCGTCCGGGATTTTCACCGCCTCCTGGCCTACTGTGCAAGAGTGTAATGACGTTATGTTCCAAGGGCGTTACGGCCCTAAGCTCAGGGCATAATTTTGACGCCTTGATTTTCAGTGTGGTGGTTGTTCGAGGAGGTTCGACGCGGTACCTCTACAGCTGTGGCCGTCCCCGCTGAAGCCGACGTCACAGTGGCACGCGTAGGTGGTCTGCAGATTGAGGCAGGACGCGTTCTGATGGCAGGTGTGCCCCTTGGCGCAGTAGTCCACACCTGCTCAGAAAAACAGCAAATTGTCAGTACTTGGTCTAAGGTTTAAGCGTGGAACTCTCCACACTTGGTTTTACAGTGCACACCGCATAGTGGGCAAGAAAAGCGGTGGAGGCGGTCGCTAAATGGGACTCGAACCGAACGTGTGACCCCACAATGGATTGCCCTCCGAACGAGGAATCCATTGGTGGGGTCACACGTTCGGTTCGAATCCTATTCTCCGACTCTGGAGCTCAAAACGCGCCTGGAGTTTTGGCCGCCTCCACCGGTCTTCTGGCCCACTGTGACTTACCCGGGCAGAACTTGCAGCACTCGCCGGGGACGGCGAACTGCTGGCTGGCGGGGCAGGTGAGGACGGGGCACATGGTCTCGGGGTCGATCCGCTTGCAGTGCATGGAGCCGTCGCGGCACTCGCACTGCACGCACTGCTTCAGGTTGACGGACTCGCCGTGGTCGTACAGCACGCCGCGCAGGAAGCATTGCTCTGCGAGGTAAAGGTTAGGTTAGGTAAGTTTCATGGACTACAGTGGGCCAGAATACCGGCGGCGCCGGCGGCCAAAACTTTAGACGCGGTTTGAGCTCCAGAGTCGCTAAACAGGACTCGAACGGAACGTATGACCCCATCAATGGATTCCTCGTTCGAAGAGCAATCCATTGGTGGGGTCACACGTTCGGTTCGAGTCCCATTTAGCGACTCTGGAGCTCAAAAAGCGTCCGGGATTTTGGCCGCCTCCACCGGTCTTCTAGCCCACTGTGCGACGGCCGGCCGGGCCTACTCACTCAGGCAGCTGGGGCAGCACTCCCCCGGGTTGATGACGGGGTTCTTGCACGCCGCTATCGGGCACTGCAGCGGTCGGCATTGCACCTCGCCTTGCTGCAAAAGACGCGGGAAATCAGAAACACCGCCACTGGAAAAAAGAAACGTTCAAACTGGAATAAGGAAGACTCACCACACACGCGCACACTTGGCAGCCCTTCTGCCACGTGGCTCCGTCCGCGTGGACGCTGCCGTTGATCCTGCAGCTCTTCTGGCAGTCGCACTCCTCGGTCCGGGCGACGCGCACCTCGGCGGCCGCGAGCTGCAACCAGCAGTCGCATCACTCCTCGGCCAGAAGACCGGCGGAGGCGGTCGAAACCCCGGACGCGTTTTGAGCTCCAGAGTCGCTAAATGGGACTCGCACCGAACGTGTGACCCCACCAATGGATTGCTCTCCGGACGAGGAATCCATTGGTGGGGTCACACGCTCGGTTCGAGCTCCATTTAGCGACTCCGGTGCTCGAAACGCGTCTGGTACTTAGGTCACCTCGCAGGGTGTTCAGAGGGGGTGCGAGGGAGACATGGCGACGAATCGACTCCTTCGGAATCACTCAGTCCGAGAGCTTTAAAGTGGTGCCCTCCCCCGTTTAGCCGCCCCGCCAGGGCTGGCAACCACCGGAGTGGCTGGCGGGGCGGACGGGGCTGGCAGGGCCGGGCGGGGCTGGCATCGACACATAAAGAATAAGGGGCCGCGCAGTAACGGAGCGGGGCGGGCGCCAGCACAGCACCGTCTGATTCCGCAAGGATGCTTTCGTCGCTCTGTCTCTCTCGCACCCACACGGGACGCCCCATGAGTGCGAGAGAGACAGAGCGACGAAAACGACTCTCGGAATCTGGCGGCTGCACCGCACGGTAAAAGAAGAAAGTGCAGCCAGCCGAGAAAGCGGGGGTGACCGCACCGACCCGCCAGCGGGGAGGAGTTTCTTTCGCGATGGCTGCACAGTGGGCCTTAAGACCGGTGGAGGCGGCCAAAATCCCGGACGCGTTTTGAGCTCCAGAGTCGGTAAATGGGACTCGAACCGAACGTGTGACACCACCAATGGATTCCTCGTACGGAGAGCAATCCATTGGTGGGGTCGCACGTTCGGTTCGAGTCCCATTTAGCGACAGAGCTCTGGAAGTTTGGCCGCCTCCACCGGTTTTCTGGCCCACTGTGGGCTAGCTGGCATAAGCCTTGGCGGCGGTGGAAAAAGTTGCAACTGTTTCCGAACGCAATCACAAGAGAATGGAACTTTACGCGCCCATTCATAGCCAACGCCCAGGGTGGCAGTGGACATGAGTATAGACGTGTGAGTGTACTGCCGCGTTGGCAAGCATGAGCCTCTCACTGTTACTTTTTGCGATGGTGGGGTTACTGACCGCGGAAATACAGGGTTGTGCGCGATGTTATGATGTTTCGAAGTACGAGCGCTTTTCAAGCTGAAGTACTAAACCTGCAGTTTGCCCATCAGCGCCTTACGGCCGGAGGGTAGGCAATCCCGCAACACTCCGGTGTGCAACGGGACAGCTGTGCTTGTTTCGCGGTTTGCCTAAACGCGCCTTACGCACAGTGGGCCAGAAGACCGGTGGCGGCGGTCAAAAGTCTAGACGCGTTTTGAGCTCCAGAGTCGCTAAACATGACTCGAACCGAACGAGTGACCCCACCAATGGATTCTTCGTTCGGAGAGCAATCCATTGGTGGGGTCACACGTTCGGTTCGAGTCCCATTTAGCGACCTGGAGCTCAAAACGCGTCTAGAGTTTTTGGCCGCCGCCACCGGTCTTCTGGCCCACTGTGGTCAACCTGAAGGCCGTGACGTCATCGCGTCGGCACCCCGTCTGCGACCTGTCGCCGGAACCATGAGCCGGAACCGCGGCCCCTGAGTAATAACCCCAAATGGGGCGCCTTTCGTCTGGGCCGCGCTCTGTCTCTCTCGCACCCGTACGGCACGCCCCGCGAGTGCGAGAGAGACAGAGCGAGCACTGCGGGGGCGGAACCGCTCGGCCCTGGCGCAGCGCAGGCCGATAGTCCAATGCCGGTCGCGATCCCTCGTTACACTACACTGGCAGCTCGACGAGGCCCTACAGTGTAGGCCCTACGCCACGCCGCGATAACACCCAGAAAAATTATGTGGACTGGACCCACATCAAGTCGTCTCCCGAGGGAAAATGAAGATGGGCACATTTTAGTCGAATTTTTACCACATGTTTTCTGAGACCAAAGGGCCTTGTGAAGAATTTTTATTCAGTTATCTTGGGCTTTTGGAGAGTTCAGAGAGTTCTTAAGGGGCGTTAACTTTGGGTAGCCGAGGTCGAGAAATGTGACGTTTCTGAAACTGGATGCGTGGCGTGCTGTGGCCAACAGTGTGGCGAGGGGTTGAGGCATTGCTTGTGAGCCAAGGGGCATCTCAATTGAGCCAACCTCTCTCTAATTTCAGGGGCAATTTCAACCGGGGTGTCCCCAATGTCATCTAGGACACTGATGCCGAGAGTCCTTTCCGTCGCTCCGTCTCTCTCGCACCCGTGCGGTGCTCCGTATAGGTGCGAGAGAGACAGAGGGACGAGGAAGTGGACTTGGCGGTTGGCGGCGGGGCACAGTGGGCCGGTGGAGGCGGCCAAATCTCAAGACGCGTTTTGAGCTCCAGAGTCGCGAAATGAGACTGGAACTGAACGTGTGACCCCACCAATGGATTCCTCGTTCGGAGAGCAATCCATTGGTGGGGTCACACGTTCGGTTCGAGTCCCATTTAGCGACTCTGGAGCTCAAAACGCGTCTGGACTTCTGGCCGCCTCCACCGGTCTTCTGGCCCACTGTGCGGGGCCCTGTTCAGAGAGCAGTGCGACTCAGTGCCTCGGCTCGCGGCCAAGATGGATCATTCCAAGTCCGGCCGGCGTGCCGGGTCGCGCGGCCCGCCCAAGTCGTCCGTATTGACCCCAGAGTCACGCTGCGCCCCGCGGCGCTGTCTCTCTCGCACCAACAGCGAGCACCCCATGAGAGAGAGAGAGAGAGAGAGAGAGAGAGAGAGAGAGAGAGAGAGAGAGAGAGAGAGAGAGAGAGAGAGAGAGAGAGAGAGAGAGAGAGAGAGAGAGAGAGAGAGAGACGGAGCGACGAAAACGACTCTCGGAATCAGTGTGCAGCACGGCAGCTGACGAGCCCGGCCCGCTTAGTCCTTGTAGGCCTGCAGCAGGCCGATTCCGAGAGTCGCTCTGTCTCTCTCGCACTCGCAGGGCGTGCCGTAAGGGTGCGAGAGAGACGGGGCGGACTTTTGGAGGGGGGCTCGGGGCCCGGGGCTCGGGGCCCACCCTTGCCGCCAAGTCCTTCAGTTTATCGACGAAGACGCCGCCTGGCCGGGAAGGCAGCGCGGAGCATTGCGGAGCGTTGCGGAGCAGCGCGTGGCGGTGCAGATTTGCATATTGTCTGCGGCGGCAGGGCGGCAGCGCCACCGCATGGCGTGGCATCCCCCCCCCCTCAACTTTCAGCAGGTTTCGGTGCCGCCCCTGCAGGAAAAAAATGTGCCGCCCTGATGGGAGATTTGAGCACCGCCTTACAACGCACAGGGGGCCAGAAGACCGGTGGAGGCGGCCAAAACTCTAGACGCGTTTTGAGCTCCAGAGTCGCTAAGCAGGACTGGAACCGGACGTGTGACCCCACCAATGGATTCCTCGTTCGCAGAGCAATCCATAGGTGGGGTCACACGTTCTGTTCGAGTCCCATTTATAGCGACTCTGGAGCTCAAGACGCGTCTGGAGTTCTGATCGCCTCCGCCGGTCTTCTGGCCCCCTGTGCAGCGAGCTTCCAGCCAGCGACATTCCGTGACGCCGAAGTGACCACTAGTTTTCAATTCGGGCTCTTTTCCGCGATCCCGGCGGAACACTTGGGGGCTTTTTGCAGATTTTAAGCAGCTTTCGGCTGCTTTTATGCAGCTTTTATGCAGTTTTCTGCTGCTTTTTTTCCAGTTTTTCGCGCTAATGCGCGTTACTGTTCATTTCGGCGAGTGGAATCGGCCGCTGGATCGCCCCTCGCCCCGCCCCGCCCCGCCCCGCCCCGCCCCGCCCCGCCCCCCGCCCCGCCCCCCCGCCCCGCCCCGCCGCCCGCGCCCGCCCGCCCCGCCCCACGCGGCCACGGCCCACCAATCTTTTGGCTGGAATGGAAGGAAGTCGTTCTGGTCGGACTGCGCCCCTTTAAGTCTCGCGGGGACTGCCACCACACTGCCACCCTACCCCCTGCGCCCCTCCCCTCCACCCCCTCATCATCCGCCCCCTCCCCCTTCCCCTCCGACGAGGATCAAAAGGATCTCGAGCGGGGCATTCTCGACTTTTTAAAAAGGGACCGGCCCCCCAGCCACGACGGGCTCCACGAGGGTGAAGCTGGCGGTGACGTACTACTACGTAACGTACCACGTACCCAGCACAGTGGGCCAGAAGACCGGTGGAGGCGGCCAAAGTCCCGGACGCGTTTTGAGCTCCAGAGTCGCTAAATGGGACTCGAACCGAACGTGTGACCCCATCAATGGGTTCCTCGTTCGGAGAGCAATCCATTGGTGGGGTCACACGTTCGGTTCGAGTCCCATTTAGCGACTCTGGAGCTCAAAACGCGTCCGGGACTTTGGCCGCCTCCACCAGTCTTCTGGCCCACTGTGCGCCACTGCACTCACCCGCTCGCTGAGCTGCGACAGCCGCCTGGTGAGCTGCTCCACGGCGTTCTGCAGCTGGCTGAACTGGCCGCAGGTCGGGCAGCTGGTGTCCAGCTGCGGGCACTGGTGCAGGTAGCCGTGCGGCCCGGGGATGATGCGGACGTCCTGCAGTGTGCCCTGGAGCAGACGGTCGAATGAGTTGCACGCTATGATTCGGCGCCAAAACTGTAGACGCGTTTTGAGCTCCAGAGGCGCTGACCAGGACTCCGAACCGAACGTGCGACCCCACCAATGGATTCCTCGTTCGGAGAACAATCCATTGATGGGGTCACACGTTCGATTCGAGTCCCATTTAGCGACTCTGGAGCTCAAAACGCGTCTGGAGTTTTGACCGCCTCCACCGGTCTTCTGGCCCACTGTGCTAGGCCACGCGGGTTATCCGCACGTCGATCGCTGACTCGCCGAATCAATGTCGCACTATCGCGGCCAGGAGGTGCCCGACAGTCGCTCTGTCTCTCTCGCACTCAGAGGGCCGTCCCGCACGGCCGCAGGGGTGCGAGAGAGACAGAGCGGGCTCCAGGCCCAGGCTGTGGGGGTGGACCGAAGGACGAAGGGCAGTGGCATCAAAAAGGCAGGCCTTCATTTCGTCATGGGCCGCCACCATGATACAACTCATGGCCAGTAGCGGCACGGCCACACGCACACTGGAACACACACACATACTCACACACACCACAGACAGACAGACAGACAGACAGACAGACAGACAGACAGACAGACAGACAGACAGACAGACAGACAGACAGACAGACAGACAGACAGACAGACACACACACACTCCGCCCCCGCAGGTGGGCTGAATGTAATTTCTTAATGCGGGGCGCGCGCGCCATAATCGGCGTGGTGCCCCGAGGCCCGAATTGGAACATCGCGAGCGTTCTGGCGTCTCTCTCGCACTCACGGGGCGCGCCGCGTTGCCGCACGGGGTGCGAGAGAGACAGAGCGAGCTGCGTGGGCGGCCCGTCGCCTTCCATTCGATTCGGCACGCCCACGCCAGGGCTTTTAATCGACTCCGGGGCGGACCGCGCCGCTGCTATGCGGTCAAGCGTGTCCAGTCAAACGATCCTTGTGTTTCAATTTTGGAGAGATGCTATTAAGTAATGCACAGTGGGCCAGAAGACCGGTGGAGGCGGTCGAAATCCCAGACGCGTGTTGAGCTCCAGAGTCGCTAAATGGGACTCGAACCGAACGTGTGACCCCACCAATGGATTCCTCGTTCGGAGAGCAATCCATTGGTGGGGTCACACGTTCGGTTCGAGTCCCATTTAGCGACTCTGGAGCTCAAAGCGCGTCCGGGATTTTGACCGCCTCCCTTCTGGCGAATCCGCTGCGGCCGCTCACCTTGAACAGGGAGTGCTTGTTGTTGCGCTGGCCCAGCCACAGCTGCAGCTGCGGCCGGTCGAAGGTGGTGTCCGGCGGCGCGATGAGCAGTCGCCGGTACAGCGGGTGGCAGTCGACGAGCAGCTGGAGCTGCGCCCCGGACACGGACAGCGCCACGGAGTGCCACTCGCCGTCCGCCAGGCGGTACGGGAACGTCTCCACGCGGACGCCGCCGGCACTGCCGCCAGCGCCCTGGCCCGGCCCGGCCCCGCCCGCGGAGCCCGCCGAGTCCGGCGTCAGGCCGTCCAGGCCGTCCAGGCCGTCCTCCCCCACGACCGGCATGGAGTAGTGCAGCCTGATCTCGTCCTTGCGCCCGCTGGACTGAAGTTCCAGGTACCTGCAGAAGGGTTGCACAGTCACACGCCACCGCACTGGGAAACCACCGTCGCTAAATGGAACTCGAACCGACCGTGTGACCCCACCAATGGATTGCTCTCCGAACGAGGAATCCATTGGTGGGGTCACACGTTCGGTTCGAGTCCTGTTTAGCGACTCTGGAGCTCAAAACGCGTCTAGAGTTTCGGCCGCCTCCGCCGGTCTTCTGGCCCACTGCGCGTACCTATTGAAGCCGTGCGAGAAGGACAGGATGCTCCCCGAGTTGGCCTCCTCCTGCCGCAGCACGGCCGCCATGGTGAACTCCGTGTTGTCTCGCAGCAGGTCCACTGCTTTCTGGTACTCAGCCGGCGGCAGTCTAAGATCCCTGTAGTCCCCTGCAAAGACGCCATTTCGTTCACACAGAGGTCGTCCACTTACTGAGCACCTTACACGCACAGTGGGCCAGAAGAGCGGCGCTGGCGGCCAGAACTGTAGACGCGTTTTGAGCTCCAGAGTCGCTAAGCAGGACTCGAACCGAGCGTGTGGCCCCACCAATGGATTGCTCTCCGAACGAGGAATCCATTGGTGGGGTCACACGTTCGGTTCGAGTCCCATTTAGCGACTCTGGAGCTCAAAACGCGTCTGGAGTTCTGGCCGCCGGCGCCGGTCTTCTGGCGCACTGTGCGACAGCGAGCCGGCTTGTCGACGGCTCGCCGACGGCTTGCCTTGTAAGTAGAAAGCAGGCTTGTGGCGCTGGGGCCCGCTGGCCAGACTGACTCCCGCCCTGGTGGTGTTGCGCAGCTGCAGCGACTCCAGCAGATCGATGGCAGTGGCCGAGGATGCTGCAACAGAAAGAGCAGGGATTAGTACACTGTAAAAAATTCCGTACTCTTGTACGGAAATGGTACAGAAAAATAAAAGTGCGGAGGTACGGAGAAAAGTACGGAACGTTCCGTAGTTGGCAAGTACGGACGGTCCAGGCAAATTATTGACCAGACATGTTCCGTACTTTTTCCGTACTTTTTTCTCACAGTGTAAAGCGATAACGGAAAGACCCAATACACAGTGGGCCAGAAGGGACTCCCGCGCCTATCTCAATGCATTGGAGCGCATTGGAGAATTCGTTCTCGACGCTTTGACTTGAAGCGGAAAGTCTTCAAGCTGTACGCCTGAATGAAGCGTACACTGCGATTCAGTTTCACCAGTGCAGGAGCGCATTGGAGAATTCACTCTCGACGCTTTGACTTGAAGCGGAAAGTCTTCAAGCTGTACGCCTTAATGAAGCGTACACTGCGATTCAGTTTCACCAGTGCAGGAGCGCAGGGATCTTTCTGCCTCCTCCTCCCAACGGAGCCGAAAATTGAAGAAAATATCGGGAAACTTCCCCGCGCCAAAGAGGCGGGAAATGTTCCAAATTCATGTGGCGAATCGTTCTCCGAGGAATTCGCTGCACCACCCCGGGCCCCGGGCCGCGGGGGCTCCGCTTGCAGTGCTTGCAGTACTTGCAGTGGGGGAGCATGACGGGGAGCCCTCCAGGAAATGACCCTCCTGGACCTCGCCAGGCCTCGGGCCGCACCTTCCCCGGGGGCGTATCAACACCGAACCGGCGGCAGTGGCGGGGGGGTAGGGGGGGGGAGGGGGAGGGGGGAGGGGAGGGGAGGGGGGGGAGGGGAGGGGAGGGGAGGGGGAGTGGAGGGGGAGGGGAGGGAGGGGAAGGGGAGGGGAGAGGGGGGGAGGGGAGGGGAGAGGGAGGGGGGGGAGGGGAGGGGGAGGGGCGCGAACACGAGACATGCATTCCATTTGTCCCTAAAGCGAGGGTAGCCTCGGCCAAGGCCCCGGCCCGCTCCAGCCGCGGCTAGCCGGCCCCAGCAGACTGATTCCGCGCACGCACGGCGCCTCGTCGCTCTGTCTCTCTCGCACCTGCACGGAACGCCCCAGGAGTGCGAGAGAGACAGAGCGACGAACGCTCTGCAGCCTGCGGAGTGCGCGGAGTCTCCGCGGCAGGTACCCTGGCCGCCGTGGCCCCTCCGGGACGATTCCGGACGGTGGTTCTGTCTCACTCGCACCCACGGGGCGTCCCGTAGGGGTGCGAGAGAGACAGAGCGACGAAAGCAGTGCCCAGCCTGCAGTGGAGTGGACTTTACGGCCGCGGAGGACTGCCAAATGGCTTTCGCCACCAAACGAGCACGACGACGACGGTCAGTGTCGGGATACTTTGTGGCGCGGCGGGGGCGCACAGTGGGCCAGAAGACCGGTGGAGGCGGCCGAAACACTAGACGCGTTTTGAGCTCCAGAGTCGCTAAATGGGACTCGAACCGAACGTGTGACCCACCAATGGATTCCACGTTCGGACAGCAATCCATTGGTGGGGTCACACGTTCGGTTCGAGTCCCATTTAGCGACTCTGGAGCTCAAAACGCGTCTAGAGTTTCGGCCGCCTGCACCGGTCTTCTGGCCCACTGTGGGAGTGGGAGACAGAGACGGCGCGACGAAACCATACAGTTCGGAATCAGCCTGCAGGCCTGCTGCAGGGCCTTGGAGGCAGGGCGCGGAGCCGTGCAGCACTGTTGTCCTTTTCGCGTGTCGACACCTCGGGGGCGGAGGGGTGGAGAGGGAGAGGGGAAGGGGAGGGGGAGAGCTAGGGAGGGGGAGGGGGTGGAAGAGGGGACGCTCCAGACGAAAACATAAATAAGGGCGCATGATTTGTTTCCTCCCCATCATCATCCCCCGCGTTGCGCCGAGCTGCGCCCTGCGGCAGCACACTGGCAGCACGGCCGGGGCCGAGGCTGTCTCTCTCGCACCTGCAGGCTGCAGGGGACGCCCCAATGAGTGCGAGAGAGACAGAGCGACGAAAACGACTCTCGGAATGAGTCCGCTGCACTGCAATGCCCTGAAGGCCGGGAAGGGAAGGGAAGGCCGGCCGGGCATGGCAGCACCCCTTCCGGAGTGTGTCAGCCCCTGTTTCCCCCCAATATCGCTTCCGCGGAAGTTGTCTGACTGGAGCGTGACGAAAACACACACACAGGGAGAGAGAGACAGAGAGAGAGAGAGAGAAGAGAGAGAGAGAGAGAGAGAGAGAGAGAGAGAGAGAGAGAGAGAGGTGTACGCGCGTGCTCCCGCACGCACACGCTTGCACACACTCACACTCATACGCGCAGAGGCGAGACGCGTGCGCTCCGGAGGACTTTTGTCGCCCCGCAGCTTCGCTTCTCCGCTGCACAGTGGGCCAGAAGACCGGTGGAGGTGGCCAAAACTCTAGACGCGATTTGAGCTCCAGAGTCGCTAAATGGGACTCGAACCGAACGTGTGACCCCACCAATGGATTGCTCTCCGAACGAGGAACCCATTGATGGGGTTACACGTTCGGTTCGAGTCCCATTCAGCGACTCTGGAGCTCAAAACGCGTCTAGAGTTTATTGGCTGCCTCCACCGGTCTTCTGGCCCACTGTGCGCTGCTTCGCCGCTTGGATGCTTATTGAAAGCCGTAAATCCGTTATTGGCCGACCGGGGAGAATGTTGCAGAGGGCTTCATCTTTTTCCGCGTACGCGCGTTGCGATGCCGACGGTGCCGAAGCGATGCGGAGACCGCTTTGCCGCTTTGGCGCGTCCCGCGAACTGCCGGGCGTCTCTCTCTCTCTCTCTCTCTCTCTCTCTCTCTCTCTCTCTCTCACCACACCCTTGGGGCTCTCCGTAAGGGTGCGAGAGAGACAGAGCGACAAACCGATACTCCGAATCGCTCCGCTGTCTGTCGCCCCGAATCCTCGATCCCCGACGCGGCACGCGGAGATGGCATCTCTTCTCCGTCACACTGTGAAAAATTTTGGCCGTCTTTGATGTCAATGCTAATGTCCCTCGCAAGAACGTCACCAATAACAAGTTTGATGACATTTTTGTCAGGCCCCATGCAAAATAAATTTTAAAGGAGCTTTGGGATGAAAAGTCATAAATTTGGTATAAAATGCATCTTGTGATGAAATTATCATTTTTTCATCATTTGTAAAATTGAAAAATTTTCATGAAAAGTTAAAGCCTACGTGAAATAGCCCCTTTTGGAAAAAGCCAACGGGGAAAAAGAACCGAAGAAAATTCACACCACATTTGCCACAATTGCGATTTTACTGAAAAACGGTGCAAATAAAAGGGGGCCTTCCTTCCCCTTTCCGCTTTCCCCCGGGGCGGTTTTTGCCCACAACCGGGGAAACCCGGGGGAAACCCGGGGAAAAACGCCCGGCTTCCTTCCCCTTTCGTTTTCCCCCCCTTTTTCCTCCCCCCCCCCCCCCCCCCCTCCTCTCCTTCTTTTCTCCTCTCTCTCTCTCTCTCTCTCTCTCTCCTCTCTCTCTCTTGCACTAAAATGGGATGCTCCACGAGTGCGAGAGAGACAAAGCGACGAAACCGACTCCGCGAGACCGAGGTTGGCTACCCGCGAAAGAGCGAAAGGTAGGATGGGTTCTTTGCCCTTTCGTCTGCCTCTGACTCGCTCTCGCTCTGACTTTGGCCGTCCAGGCGGTTTCACTTCGCGTCTCTGGAGGGCAGTGACATTTTCCGTTTCCCTTCGTTGTGGAAAAGGCGCGCCCGGCTCGCCCATTCCAGAGGAACGCGTTTACTCGCGGGTATTTTTGCGAGCTGACGGTGCGCAGCACAGTGGGCCAGAAGACCGGTGGAGGCGGCCGAAATTCTAGACGCGTTTTGAGCTTTAGAGTCGCTAAGCAGAACTCGAACCGAACGTGTGACCCCACCAATGGGTCCCTCGTTCGGAGAGCAGTCCATTGGTGGGCTCACACGTTCGGTTCGAGTCCTATTTAGCGACTCTGGAGCTCAAAACGCGTCTAGAGTTTTGGCCGCCTCCACCGGCCTTCTGGCCCACCACTGTGCGCAGATGACAGAGTGCACCACCCGGCCCCCCTTCTGGGACACGTTTCAATTTTTGTCGGCCTAAGTCAATCAGTGCTCCCTGCGGTCCTCGCGGTCCTCGTTACGGAAGGGGAGAGAGAGAGAGAGAGAGAGCGTGTGCGAGGGTGCGGTGGTCTCCGTGTCATTCGATTACCCTCGTCGCATTCATGGGGCTCATAATGAAGCTATTTGGGGCGGGGGAGCGGAGCCAGGGCTCCGCAACCCCCAACCCCGCCGGTCCCGGGCGGAGCGCCATCGTCGCTCTCTCTCGCACTCGCCGGGTGACCCGCTGGGGTGCGAGAGAGACAGAGGGGCGTCGGCCTGCGAGGCGCCGCACAAGTGCACCCGGATCATTAAAGGACATTCTCTCTTTAAGGGGGCAGTCTCGTCCCGGGGGTCAAAATTTTCGAATTTTTTATTGCTAAAATAATGGTTTGGGCCCCAACCCAAGGAAAATTGGCTCTTTTTTAACGAAACCTTGTGGGGCCCCGTTCCTTCCCAAAAACCATTTTACGGGGCCTGGCAAAAACCGTAGGTTTTTGGGCCCAAAAAACGTCCAAGACCACCCTTTTACACGAAGCAGAAAGTAAATCACTCTTCCAATCAGACAGGAAACACTTGTTTGTTGCCACTATCAAAATGGCAACCTTCTCATTTTAATCAGTACCAATTTTTAAATCAATTTTTCCCGCACTATTTTTTTTAGCGGTGTCCTTATTCCACTCGTCCCGCCGTCCCCTCCAGCGCGAGGCAGCCAGAGGCCTCGCTTAAGAAGTATTATCTCTCATACATGAGCGCATATAGCCCCGCGCCCCGCTAGCCCCGCCCGACGCGATACATCAGTTCAATTCCTCTTTTCTGTCGCTCCCTTCCAGGCAGCCCCCCCACCCCCGGCATCCCCCCCCGGGCCCCCGGCAGCCCTGCAGGCAGGGCGCTAAGAGGCGCCAAAATA